CCTTTTTAAATGGAATGCTTGACACCTGGTATGTCTTACGAGGTCGCCTGTCACAATATCGAGCAAATGACAACTGATTATCCCTATTCCTGAGTCAGGGTGGAACCCACTGGCCGAAACACAAAGAAACTGGCTTGATGTTGAAAACTGAGAAGCAAACTTATGACCATTTTCAGCTTCGGAAGCCCAAATAATTTGGAAAATTACTAATATTTAGCAAAACAATTCGGCAATTGTGTAAACTACTGAGGGGGAACTGAACTCTGATCTACAGCCATCCTCCAGGTGGGAAAGAAAAAAACAAAGCCCCGAACCTTTTTGTTAAAGATTGAGTTACCAAATTAGAGGGAGGAAAGAAATGCAGCTGCCGGGCAGATTTGAATTTCAGTGAAGTATTCCAGTATCATGCAATTTTCTTCAAAAACAAGAATTCTCAAAGAACATGAGAGAACATGAGAAGCCAAGAAAGGCGATGAGAGGGTGGAGGAGGGAACCTCAGGAGGCTGTGCCCAGGCGAGTCCAGAGGACCCCACCGGCCCCCCCAGGCCTGGGACGCGCCCCCCTGCTGGGGAGGCGGCATGCCTCGTGCCTCGGTGCGTTCTGCCTGTAACAGTGAGCGCTCTCACTGCCCTCGGCTGCCGGCACTGAGACCAGGCTGAGCTTGAGAGCTCCAGGAGGGAACTGCCTGTCATCCAGGAAGTGGCCTGGCCGCTTTTCCAGGAGTGCTCAGGGTGACAGGATGATCTCTGCACATTCTTGGCCAGATCCCCATCTGCAGCCAAGGGCACGCCCTTCAAGGTGGCTGGGGCAAGGGCTGCAGTCAGAGCCAGGCCTGGTCTGCTCCAGCGGGGCGCCCCACTGCTGGGTCCCGAGCACCAGGCCTCCACGCCACCCCCGAAGCTGTGGCTTGCCCAGAGTGGCACCTGGAGTTCGCAGCACAGGCCCGACTGCAGCCCAGGTCTCCCAACCACAGCTTCCAGTCTGCAGCCCTTCCCACCCCCTTCCCTCCGCGGCGGTGCAGGAGAGGGAGCCCGACCCGGAGCGGGCCGGACGCCTCGGCAGGCACTTCAGCGGCCACTGCAGCGAAGGCTGTGAACCCAGAGAAAGGAGGCTCGTTGACCCGTCAGGGGCAGCTTCTTCAGGGCACGGAAGGGAAAAAAACAAAAGCAAGTTTATACTCGTAGGGAAACATAATCTGTGATTATAAATATTTGATGAGCAAAGAAAGCAGTACTGGCTGAGAGACCGGGGTGTGGAGGGTGGACAGCAAATTGGAGCCCGGAGTGCAAAGTGATAGGGCAGCTGGAAGAGCAGTAACTTGGGCTATTTTGGGCTGTGTGCGGCGCGGGCCTGCGTCAGAGTGTGGGCTCTGGCCAGCGGCTTTGTGGAAACCGCAGCCTTCCAGCGGGCAGCAAGAACACCTTGGGAGGAGCGGTGAGCTCACGGAAGACCAGGAGTGGGGGCAGCGAGGACAGTCGTTTGAGTGACTTGGGTAAACCTGCCTGAACACGTGAAGGGGGTGAGGGGATGCAGCTGAGCAGCCAGTGGCCTGGGAACTCGTGAAAGGATGAGCACACGTTCTGCTGACCAAGCATAGAGAAAGGAGTGAGCCCGACCCCAGAAAGCAAGTGACCTGCAAAGCTAAACAGCAACTCAGGTCAAGCTGCCCGGTCAGAGCAAAGGCCCAGCCCCTGGGCAGACGGGGCCGGGATGAGAATGCCAAGCCCACCTCTCCTTTGCCACGGGACAGGGTCTCCTCCTCCGCAGGCTTTGGGGAGCAGCCCAGGAACAGTAAGGAAGAGCTCGCTGAGTCCCAGCTGCTGCTGCTGAAGAGACACTCACCGTGAGCGAAGCCGGCCTGGCCTGGGCGTGAGGCCTCCTCCTGGGCCAGGCGCCACTGCAGCGACCGCGCCACGGAGTCCACTGGCCCTTCCAGAGGCCAGATGGAGAGGGATGTCAGCTCCTAAAATACCCGGACGTGCCGGAATCGAGCTCCGTCGGGGAGGCCCGGGGAGCAGTGCGCCGCTCAACCGGGAAGACAGATGCTAAAAGCCCATGTTCGCCTCCTTGCAGTCAAGGCTTAGCAGGCCAGACGCTCCCAGCGTGCGCACTGAACACGGGAGAACGGGACCATTCTCTAGGGTCACAGCCAGTGAGAATCGACTCGAGATGGGAAGGGCTCCTCGGCAGCAAACCGCCCTCACGGTGTGGGACGACCTGCGTTGGAAGTCACGGGACCGGGCTCTGAGACCAGCCTGGGCACCTACTAGGCGTGGAGACCCTAAGAAATCATGTGGCCTCTGAAACTCAGCGTCTCCATCTAAAAAACAGGACCATTGTCTGCCAAACCTAAGGTCTGAGGAGCACCAAGAATATGCATATACACATAGATGCTTTCAAAATAGATGCTAAGTGCTATTCCAATTTAAGCATTTATTTATATCCAGCTACCTACTTGACATCTGCTGGCTGTCTCAAAGGCACCCCCACTCAGATGCCCCCAGCTGCTCTCCCTCCCCCATGCTCAGGCCTCTCCTAGGGCACCCCAGTTCAGGGCTGGTCAGGAACCGTACAGACATGGATGGAAGCCAGAAACCCAGGACCCACCCTTGGCCCTCCCCCGCCGTATTAACGCATTTCCAGGCCCAGTCAACTCGACCACCTAATTCTACTCCCTTCCATCACCCGTCCTAATCCAACATATGTCGTCCTCTTGCAGTCTCCAACAAAGCCTATGCCCATCCGTCCTGGCCTCCCCCAGCCCTCTCCACAGAGCAAACAGAACCAGGCTTCCCTCCCACACCCTGCCCTGCTTGCTAAAGACTCCACAGCAGTACCCCAGGCCCTCCGAAAAGGAACCCTCCTCCCCACGCTCCTCCTGCAGCCTCACCCTGCACCGTGCTCACTCTGTGCTCCCTGCTCCAGCCACACTGGCTTTTCCTTCCGTCCCTGGCGGTTACCCCATTCTCTCCTACCACAGGGTTTTGCACATGCTCTTCCCTCGGCCTGAAATACCGCTCCCTCTCACATAGCTAATGCCTCTCCATTTATGTTTACTAAAGTATCCTATATAATAAAGAGGTAATATGCAAATTGACCATCACTCCAACACACAAGATGGCTGCCCCATGTGGTCAAAGATGGCCTGCAGGGGAGGGCAGTTAGGGGCGACCAGGCTGGCAAGGGAGGGAAGTTAGGGGCGACCAGGCCGGCAGGGGAGGGCAATTGGAGGCAATTGGGCCAGCAGGGGAGCAGTTAGGTGTCAATCAGGCTGGCATGGGAGTGATTAGGGGTGATCAGGCTGGCAGGCAGAAGCGGTTAGCCAGCAATCCTGGATTGTGAGAGGGATGTCCGACTGCCCACTGGGATCGGGCCTAAACGGGCAGTCGGACATCCCTCGAGGAGTCCCAGATTGGAGAGGGTGCAGGCTGGGCTGAGGGACACACACGCCCCCATGCACGAATTTCGTGCACCAGGCCTCTAGTAAAGTACATAAAGTGCATCGGAGTACACAGCTTCCTAGTTACAGATGTACACATTCATGCAACTTCCACCCAAACCTCAAACAATCCAGCACCCATACAGCGCCCTCTTGCCCCCTTTTCAGTCTATGCTCCTCCCCACTCCCCGGTAACCGCTGCTGTGACTCCTGCCACAATGCCTGTTCATTCTTCAGAATGCAGCTGATGCAACCCTTTCTCAGGAAGCTGCCTCCAATCCCCCTGGAAAAGTCGAATTCCTCATTCGTAGGCCCTTGTTTACACCGAGGGATTTGCATTTACTAGTAACTGTGTGATCTGTGTCAGCGTCCCCTAGGACACTGTCAGCCCCACAAGAACAAGGACCATATCTGCTTAGACTCACCTGTTTCCCTGTGCTTGCACATGCTCAGCAATGATCATAGAAAATAGCTAATACCACCCTAACCGGTTTGGCTCAGTGGATAGAGCGTCGGCCTGCAGACTCAAGGGTCCCAGGTTCGATTCTGGTCAAGGGCACGCACCTTGGTTGCGGGCACATCCCCAGTGGGGATGTGCAAGAGGCAGCTGATCGGTGTTTCTCTCTCATCGATGTTTCTAACTCTCTATCCCTCTCCCTTCCTCTCTGTAAAAAATCAATAAAATATATATATATTTTTAAAATAGCTAATACCTGTCGCGTGCTTATTACTGCCAGGCATTCACAGGTACTAACTCATGAAACTCTCACATCAGCCCATGAGTAGGTATCATTATTATAACCCCATTTTACTGGGAAGGAAACTGAGGGACAAAGGAGTTAGAGAACTGGCTCAAAGTCACCATAAAAGCCAGACAGTCTGGCTACAGAACAGAGTTCTTGATCATTAGGCGACTCTGCCTCACAGAGGCCACTGGGTTATTTAATGAGTTCGTGCCCACGATATGTTGAATGAATGGATTCATAAAGGAGTTAATGAGGTTCCATCAAAGGAACCAAGAGAGGCCCCAAACCGCCCCAAGGAGACCCATAAATAAATGGAAGATAATCTGCCATTGACTCACCTGCCCAGGCCCAAGATCAGTCACCCACAAAACACAGGGCTAGTCCCTCTCCCCACATGCAGGGAAGGAAGCCTCCTGCCGTGGGCCTAGGGGTGGCTTTGGCCCCTGGCAGGGGGGGCTCCACGACAGAGGAAGGATGGCTGCCTGGGTCCCGTCAGAGCCGAAAGGCAACACCCACTACATTCAACAAGTCACTCTGCTCCTGTTCAGGGCCACCCAGGCCTCTTCACACCCACTGTACAGCCCCGCCCTCTGACACGGGGACAGGACCCTGTGACCGGGGGAAGGGTCTGCCTGGTCAGAAGTGACGGATCCCACTGTACGTTTACAAACCGGCATTGGGTTGCACCCTCATCGCCAAGAGCCTGATGCTCCTGGGGGAGCTCTGGGGCTGCTCCGGGCAGACACTGACATGGGTTGTAACTGCTTCTGTGCCACTGACCTCACCACCACATTCCAGAAAGCTCAAGAAGGAGACACATGTGAAAATGTTTATTCCTCACAGGACACTGTTCCCCAGCCACGGGGCCCCAAGCTCCCCGCCAGCAAGGGCGCGGTTATCGGAACTGCTCCTTCAGGAGCCCCACGACCGCGGCGGCTGGGCTCTGCTCACACAAAGTTCTGAGCAATGGCCAGCACCTTGGAAAACTCGCCTTCCTTCCGGCGCAGGCTGGTGGGGATGGGTGTCTTAATGCGGGTCCCCACCGGGTTCCCGTTGTCCTCAATGAGGACCACGTTATTGGAGTCGAACCTGGGGGTCATCCGAGGACCAGGCATGCGGTGCCCCACAATGAGCGCCTTCTTCTTCTGTCCCTTGATGGCCAGCAGTATCCGGTCGCCCACCTTGCCCACCCCATTCTTGGTGTAGACGTGGATGCAGCGAGGCGGGCGATGGTACGGGGTGTTCCCCAGGGCACTGTTGTCCACCACACGCACCCGAGTCATCTTCTGAATTGCACCCAGGGTCCCAGTGGTGCTGGTGGGAAAGAGAAAAGTCTGAGGTCGGCACCTCCCCCGGTCCAGTGCGGAGGCCGGGATGGGAGAGAGCGCACGTTAGCAACAACACGCTGAACAGAACACCACCCAAGCTCTGACGGGGAGGCAGGTGCTGCCGAGGGCTCCTCTGTACCCGCGACAGTTTCGGCACAGACAGGAGCTCCCGCTGCCGGGTCAAGAACTTCACTCGGATGGTTTTAAAGAGAACCCACTTCTCTGTTACAACAAACTTCATGGCAGCCTTCACTGAAAGCCTTTGATTTCCAAAAGGACTCTGAGTATTAAGGAATACCTCATAGGCCAGGCCTCACCCACCGCCTAGCCTGCCAAACCTGCTCCCCCAGACTATACCGATTCCCAAATTTTCTCATCTATATGTTGCTGGGAACCAGAGAGATGAGTGAGTAGGTTTGCTAAGGGAGTCTGTTGACACCACAAAGCAGAGACAGGAAATACGTCAAGGGAACAGTCTTCTGTTTTAATGCAGTTTCCCCCACTCGAAATAAATTTGTTGTTTATTATTATTATTTTACTAGAGGCCCGATGCACGAAGATTCGTGCAAGAATGGGCCTTCCTTCCCCTGGCTGCCAGCACCGCCTTCGCTCTGGCCGGAGCCATCTTTCTGCCTTCACTGTGGCCTGGAGCCGCCTTTCCGCCTTCCCACGCTGCCCAGAGGCCGAGAGCGGCTGGGGCTGTGCGGAATGCCTGCGTCCCGCCCCACCCCCCAGCCACTCAGCACCTGCTATGCAAATTAACCCACCATCTTTGTTGGGTTAATTTGCATACTCACTCCTGACTGGCTGTTGGGTGTCGCGAAGGTGCGGTCAATTTGCATCTTTCTCTTTTATTAGTGTAGATTTTTAGAAATTTGTTTTTTAAACAGGTAACTATTGAAGGCAGACAAGCTATCATTAAGTAACCTGATGACAGTGGGTTTCCATTTTCCTGATGCTGGCCCCTTACGTGCTGGCGTTCCCCAAGTAGCCCCAGGTCCTCTCCCCTCCCCCCACATGCCTATTCTGGGCAATTCTATCTATGCCCATTGCTTCCAACTAGTAACTTCCACCTCCAGCCCCACTTGTCTTCTGTGCTCTACTCCTGTGTTTCTGCTCTAAACTCACTACACATCCTACAGCTACTGCACAGGAGGCCCCACACGGACCCTGTCGCCTCCCCTGGCGCTCCTCCTCCTGCGGCTGCGTTTCCCATCGAGGTAATGGCTTCTCCAGAAGCTCCAGCGCCCAAGCCATACACCTCTCTCTCCATCACCCTCCCTGCGGCCACGTCCCATTGTTACTGCCTCCTCAGCAGCTCTGTCCCTTCCCTGCACCCCATCAACACTTCCTAGGTTCAGCAGCTCACTCTCTCACACCAAGATGAAGACACTGTGTCCTAACTGGCTCCTAGTGCACCTCACTATGCCAACCAGCAGCGCTTTTTAGAATATAAACTGAGGCCACCCCCCTGCTTAGGAGTGTTCAATGGCTTCCCACTCTCTACTTGTCAACAACCTGGCCTCGTTGTACCTGCCCTCGAAGGTACCACCTCCTACCACCTACACGCCCGCCCTGTGCCCCAGTGGCCGGGAAGCTCTGGAGCTCGCCAAGCACACGCCCCTCGCAGCCCTCCCCGAGGCCTGCCCAGGGCCTGCTCCCTCCTCCCTTCTGGGAAGGCCGCCTCCACTCTCCTTTCCTCCTCCTCCTCCTCCTCCATCAGCAGCTCTGGTCTCGGGCCTTCCAAGCACCACACAAACCCCTATTATTACACTGGTCACATTTCCTTCCAGTTATTTGTTTCCAAGTCTGCTCCCATGGCCAACTGTGAGAACTCTTCCCGGGCAGGAAGCAATTCTCATTCATCTCTCTATTACCAACCCCAGACACGGTGCTCAGTAAGTGCTTGTGAAATGAGTGCACGGATGGGGCCAAAAGGCATGTTTGCCAACAGGAATGCAGCTGTGCTCTCCCCCTGGGTTAGCGTCTAAAAGGAGGGCAGGCTGTCACACTTCTGTCATGCTTGAGATTTTGGTAGTAAGTAACTTTTAAAAAATGATTCCAGTTTTAAAATAGGAGGTTTCAATGCATTTGGGGGGGGGCGGGGGGGGGACGGTAGGGTTAAGAGATGTCAGATTCACTGAAGTCTGGCAAGGACTGAACAGTTCCATCTTCCATCACATGCCTTTCCCTATCCCGCCTCTCACAGCACCGTCACCTCAGTACCTATGCCCCTCACCTGACCTCACCAGGCCCCAGCCCAGTCTGATTCCTTCAGTTTCCTGACCCACGGCCCACTTCCCTGAGTTTCCGCTCCCGTTCTAGTCACCATCATACCCAGCCCTGATGGGAGGGAGGCTTAGCAAAGATGCAGCTTGAAGAACTTCCTGGGGAAAGTTACCTGAAACAGCGCTGGCTGAGGGCTCTGCTGATGTGGGTGAAAGGGCCCCTCAGCCCAGGAAAGAAAGCCATGGGATCCCAAGAGGGCAGATCCTGCAGAAAAAGGAAAGGGGGGAAATGTTATTTTTAAGTCAGTGGCCTTACGCAGAGCCAGTTTTCTTTGTTGTTGTTTTTTAATGAAAGACTGTTGGGGACTTGTGTGGGAGATGGCACTTCCAGCACAAGATCATTAGCCACTAAATATAAATCTTAGTGGTTAAAAGATACGCAGGTGATTAGCTGGAACTCCAGCTGCAATTCTGCTGATTCATATTCTAACTGGGGTCAGAGAGCCGGAATGACCCAGAGCAGTTCTCGCCATAAGGACTGCAACAGCACAGGCAGTGCCTTCATCACCACACCACTCCCACCGGCCGGAGGGAAGCATCGATCCCTGCTACACACCCAGCTGGCGACCGCGTTCCAGGTCCCCACAGAGGAAACCTGCACAATATTGATACTCATGGCCGCCTGAAGCCAGAACTTCTACTCCCGGAGAGAAAGCAGATTATCTGAGCCACTGCCCAGGTTGTCTGTCACATCACCTTTCCCCCAAATGTCATGTAAACGCCAGAACATTTGGACACCTCAAGGCTCGCAAAGTGGAGCCAGACGATGCCTTTGACAAGTCACTGACCAAAGTTTCCATTTGGGTCAGTCTCCCAAACAACATTATAACGCAGAAAAACGACCTGCCCCACCCTGCAGCTCACGTGGGGTACGGGAGAGCAAACCCCGACCCGACACTCATGGCTCCAGCTTGCACAGCCGCAGCCCAGTGGCTCCCTAGAACCTGGCACCCCCATTTCCTGCAACACCTGGGCGTCCGTGAGGGGCGTGTTTAAGAAAAACCGGCGGCCAGCTAGTATTTCCAACTGCAAAACACGCCCGTTCTTCCCTCCAAATGTCTGGCTGCAGAGGGCCTCCTTCGAGAGCCCTGCGGAGAGCGGCTCCCCGCTGAAGTGTTTACATCAGCCCTGCCCAAGTTCAAAGCACCTCAAGTGAGACTTCATTTCAGAAGGGTGTGGGGGGCGGGGCACCCACATTTACCTCCACAGGAATATCTAACACTTTAGAAACGCTTTTTAACTGCAAGTTAGCCTCAGATCTCAGGCCTACTCTGCAGTGTTTTCCCTATGACAACCCAGTAAGCACTGGCCAAAATGGAAGGATGGCCACAAGATTAAATGCAGAGGGAGTCGGCTAACTTGCAGAACTACTAACATCCAATGCACAGCACTGAGGACCACTGGATGAGGCAGGCTTTACCTGGAGAGCGCGGCAACCCTGCAGAAGGAACCGGAGCGCCCGTGTCCCCATCTGCAACACATCCTCAGAGGTGGTCACGGCGTGAGCCGTTCAGAGCACAGGGCGCGGTGTCTGGCACTCGGTACCTATTAGCTGTCCTCATCGTCATCGTCATCATCATCTAGTCACATCTCATTCCACAGATTAGGAAACTGAGACACAGAGAGATGAAGTGACTTACGTAAAGCCCCACAACTAGCCCAGGGCCGAACCAGAACCAGAAGTGGGCCCAGCTTCCATCCAAGCTTCCCTTTACCACACCCTACAGCCTCACTCTACCGTACACAACTCACGTCACACAAGGAAGCTCAGGGTCAGAAGCAGCTGTAAGGGTAATCTGGTCTTTTTCTGTTCCCTTTATGAACATTTATTGAGTACTTATTGAGTATTATGTACCAGGCACTAGACTAAACGCTTTACAGTATCATCCCATTGAAGCCTCACACAACCCTATGAAATGGGCGCTGTCACTGGCCCCAGGCTGTGCATGAGGAAACGAGGCCCAGAGACGTGAGGTAACGTGGCCCAGGCCACACAGCCTGGAGTGACAGAGCTGTAACTTAAACCCAAATCGCCGGCCTCCTGAGCCCCTGCTCTTGGCCAACAGCGTTAACATGGTAACTTTAACTTAAAAATTAATATTTTTTTCCAACTGTTAAATCATCCTTGTTCCACGCACATCTTACTCATACCCAACTCGACGTTTGCTGAATCAACTGAAATATAGATGAACATCGGGTTAAAATTATTCATTTTAACCCAATTTAAGTTTCTGAGACAATCTGTGATATGGGTGGCAAGAGCTCCATATTGGAGCAATAACTGACTATTGGCTTTGAAAGAACCTGCTCTGAAAAGCAGTCCTGGTCCAGGCGGCAGTTACCGCCCATCTCGGCCTCGCTCCTGAGAGAGGCGGCTCCTCAGCTCCTCCACGGAGCCCTGAAGATTAGCCCAGCACCACCCACAACCCACACGTCCTCTCCTGAGGAGGCACCTGCCTCTTCACACCACTCTGCTTCCTCAGTCACACTCATGTTAGTCCGAGAACTGCAGAAGTGCCTGGGGCTTCCCAGAACTTTCCTGACTTGAGTGTAACAAGCCCCACCTTCAAGGTGCCCAAACTCTCCAGGGCAGTGTGTGCACAAACACACCCAGGCCTCACAGTGCCTTGCTCACAAGCCCCACAGCCGATGCCCATCTCTGCCCGGCTAAGTCTGACCCAACTCCAAGCGCGAAAGTTCCTCCATGAAGCCTCATGCAAAACTGCAGCATCAGATGTGCCCTCCTGAGCGCTGAGGACATCTGGGCAGCCCGTGCCAAGATCTCTCATTGCTCCAACTTTCAGGATCCAAACTCAAACAGTGAATAAATTTAGGTACTTTTTAAAAATGTTTTTATTGCTTTCAGAGAGAGAAAGGGATAGGGAGGGAGGGAGGGAGGGAGGGAGGAAGAGAACATCAATGATGAGAGAGAATCATCAATCAGCTGCCTCCTGCACACCCCCCATGGGGATCGAACCCACAACCCCGGCATGTGCCCCGACCGGGAATTGAACCGTGACCTCCTGGTTCATGGGTTGATGCTCAACCACTGAGCCACATCGGCCGGGCAAATTTAGGTACTTTTTAAAAAATAAAGCTGATATCCCTTGTGGGGTTTTTTGTTGTTGTTCTTTTCTTAAGGCTAATAACCCTTAACATTCTAGTTCTTGCCACTATCTCAAACTCCGAAACCACAGAAATCTTGATAATGTGGAGTCTGAACTCACTGCAGGAATTCAGGAACCGCACAGACTCAGATCATGAGGAATAATTGTGCTGTCCTCAGACACAAGAGTACACATTCCCGTCTCCAAGCAGCTCTTACAGTTTCACAAGGAAGGGCCTGATTCAAGGACTTTGCACTACTCCTGGTGACCTAATGATGATCTTCAGGCCCAAAGGGCCTAAGACATCAAATGGACAACAGTAAGCCTTCCTACGAACTTGAAAGCACAAAAGAACCAAATGTACTCACTTTGTGTGTGTGTGTGTGTGTGTGTGTGTGTGTGTGTGTGTGTATCCTTTATTCCTTTAAAAAAAAAAAGTCTATGGCCTCCTCTACTCCCACTCTAGCAAAAGACCTCAGCAGGTCCTCCTGGAGAAGTGCAATAAACACTGGTTGAAGGAAATAAATAAAGTAGCCAAAGAGAGACATCCCTACTCACGGCTCCAGACACACTGTAGAGCAGCGGCCAGCAACCGGTGGTCCACGGACCACTGGTAATCCGTGAGGTCCAAAAGGTTGGCGGCCGCTATCTGTCTGTCGGGAACCAGGACATCACACGCAAACATGCTTTAGGAGAACCACAGTGCCGTGGTGGCAGGATTAGCCCATGCTGTTTACAGGCCCCCGGAATCATCTCCCAGGCCCGGTGCCCACACTGCCCACGGTAGAAAAACACCTCATCCCACCACTAAATGACCGGTTTGAATCAAGGAAGGATAATGGAGGCAGCAATTTACTTCAAAGTAACTTTGATTGGCCTTGATGTTATTTCCTAACATAAATCCATCCTGTAGACACAGGCCCTGATTCACTTCAAATGTAGTCTATATATAATGCTTTATTTCCGCACGGAGTCTTATGTGCGCACGGAAAATAGCCCCAATGAAACTTCCACCTCTACAACACTCTCACTCAGGGAGGCCAGGTGTTCACACGACTCCAGGGCCAGAGGCGGCTTCTCATGCCACTTTCTGGTCAGCACTGAGTACTGCCCTTCAGGTCTGAACTATGAATCACAACCTCTCCAAAAGGGGCAAGGGGAAAGGAGGAGGAAGGGAGGGGAAAGTAAAGGGAGGGGAGGGCGAAGGAAGAAAGGGAGGGAGGGAGGGAGGAAAAGGAGAAAGGGAGAGAAGGAAGGACAGAGAGAGGGAGGGAGGGGAAGGAGAGAAGAAAGAAAAGAAGCCCTAGCTGGTTTGGCTCAGTGGATAGTGCATTGGCCCGGGGACTGGAAGATCCCAGGTTCGATTCGCGTCAGGGGCACATGTCCGGGCTGCAGGCTCGATCCCCAGTAAGGGGCGTGCAAGAGGCAGCTGATCAATGATTCTCTCTCATCACTGATGTTTCTAACTCTCTCTCCCTCTTCCTTCCTCTCTGAAATCAATAAAAATATATTTTAAAAAAGAAAAGGAAGGAAGGAAAGAAGGAAGGAAGGAAGGAAGGAAGGAAGGAAGGAAGGAAATGATAAATTACTTACAAGAATAAATTACTTACAACCCAAGAACCATGCCCATTTCCACCTGATTTAACATTAAGGTCTGCCTTCTTTTTATTTTTTTATTTTAAATAATTTTTATTTCTTGAAGTATTACAAAGAGTATTACATATGTCTCCTTTTTTCCCCCCCTTGTCATCCCCCCAGTCCCCACCCCCCAGTGTCTTGTGTCCACCGGTTATTCCTATATGCATGCATATAAGTTCTTCAGTTGATCTCTTAACCCCCACCCCCCCCAAACCTTCCCCAGGCTTCCCACTGTAGTTTGACAGTCTGTTCAATGCTGCTCTGCCTCTGCATCTACCCCTGTTAATCAGTCTATACTGGTCCCCATTATCTGTCCCAACCTCACTGGAGCCGTCTCGGCCTCACCGGGGCTATTTTAACCTCACCGGGGCCGTCCCGTCCTCACCGGGGTCCTCTCGGCATCACTGGGGCTGTCTCAACCTCCCCGGGACCATCCCGACCTCACCGGGGCCGTCTCAACCTCCCCGGGGCCATTCCGACTTCACCGGGGCCGTCCCAGACTCACCAGGGCCGTCCCGAAGGTCTGCCTTCTTAACATTAAGTGGTGGAAGCCAGGGAGGACTGTACACTTCAGGTACACATAGGTGAGTTTTTCACTTGGCATCACCTTATAGGTCCCATGGGAAGGGCGCTCAGTGAGGGCAGGGCAGGGCCGTGCCTGCCTGCCTGCCTGCCTGCCCTGTACAGTGCTGCACCCTCAGGACCCAGAACAGCGCCTGGCACACAAATGCAGCTCAGTGAGTATCTGTCAAATGAATAAAATTAATCTGCAATTGCAATTCATCCCCCAGCTCCAGAAGGCTCTGAGTAGGGGGACTGGTGGTCTTGCTTGTGCCTGTCTCCCAGTGACTTGGGGGGGCCTCCTACCCACTGAAAGCTCATTTTTAACTAATTTTAATAAACAGAGACTGACTGAAAAACAATGGGTGCTTTGTGGAAAACTGGAAAGCACCATTACTTGAGGATCAGGGAAATGTACTTCGTATCACAGCCCTATGTATAACTATGCATTGTTTCCACATGAACGATTTCTGTCTTTAGGTCAGGCATGTTACATACATGTCAAAGGCCTTTCCACAGGAATGGGCTCTACAGAAAAGAGACTAAATGAATAAAAGTTCCACAATCATAAAGGAGTGCTTACAGGAGATTCTGTTACTAAGTAACAGGACAAAAAGAAACACTAAGAAATCAAATGCAGCCCTAGCCGGTTTGGCTCTGTGGATAGAGCGTCAGCCTGAGGACTGAAGGGTCCCAGGTTCGATTCCAGTCAAGGGCACATGCCCGGGTTGTGGGCTCTATCCCCAGTGTGAGGCGTGCAGGGGGCAGCCGATCCATGGTTCTCTCTCATCATGGATGTTTCTAGCTCCCTCTCCTTTCCTCTCGCTCTAAAATCAATATATATATATATTTAAAAAACAAAGAAAGAAATCAAACGCAGCATGCACCCACAACAAGGAGAAACTCCACCAGCCTGCAGATGTAAGTGTCCTCTTAGCTAAAGCAGGAAAACGCAGAGGCTTGGCAGCTTCGAGGAAGCAAGGAAAGGAAATTCCGGGACCCTGCCATCTCCTGCAGGTTTCACCCCAGTCATTCTGGACCAACAAGTACTCTTATTTGTTGCTTAAAAACTCATTCCTGTTTTGTTGTCCAACGGCCCTCTTTCAGGAATCCTCTTTAACCTCACACAAGTATAGCATGTTACAATTCTCAAAGTACTTTCACGCAGATTACCTTCTTGGATGATTTCATTCCTGAGCACCCAATGGAAACACAAAGACAAATAACAAAGGGCAACCATCTGCAAGGGGCTGAATCAGCTAAGGATTTTGAATGGTTCTGGGGGCTCAGTAAGGCAAGTACCATTTTGCAGACTAGAAATGAAGTCTGAAACGCTGAGTGCCTTGTTGACCTGTTCAAGATTAGAAGGCCGTGTCTATCACCCCCTGCACAATACCTGCACAGCTAAGATGCTGCTACCACCACTAATAAAACTCACAGAAGAAAACACGCCCCACAAAGGACAAGGGCTCATTCTTCTCCATCGAGGCTGCCAGGTAATCTTTAAAAACTCGGGAATTAAAAAGCTGTCTTTTCAATAACTATCTGTACTACACCCAGCACAGCCTAGGAAAAGAGCTGAGCTGACCCGACTCCCCTGCCAACCTGAGTCTTCACAGTGTCTTCGTCAGCATGAGCTGTGCGTGCCAGGGCTGCCACTGAAGACCCCATTCCTCAATCTGATTCACCAAAGAAAAATGTTCCCAGAACTCTTGTCCTGCATTTATTTATTCGCCTCTCCCCGCCTAGTCACAAAAGTATTTAAAAATACTTTAAAAATATACCTGACAACTCTCAATCATTCAAACGCCCTCTAGATCCCAACTTCACAGGTATCCAAACATCTATAGTCCAAAAATAAGTTTGTAATAATCAGTATGGGCAAACTCAGAGCAAGTGCACAAAGTTCAGTTCTACTCAACCGTGTACGCATTTCCTTCCTATTACCACCTCTCGTGGGCCAGCGGCAAGAAGCTAGGTTTATGGCGCTGTCAGATGGGGCAATGGGCAAAGGAGGAAAAGCCTAGAGGAGTCCCTGGACTCAAACAGGAAATGCTGCTGATAGAAACGTATCGCCTCCACCCTGTCCTCCCCTCCTCTGCTAAGTCTGTGACCTTGGGAACCACTGCTCCAGGCCTCAATGACTCCCTGCCAAGCAAGGGTAACTGGGAAGAACAGAGGCACGAAGTGGCTGTGCTTTAGGTTCATTCATGTAAGTGGTCCTTTTAAAGGGGGGAGTCCCTTTCTACACTGAGCAGGTAGGGACCAGGGACCAAGTCTGCAGGATAAGCAGTTTGTTTCCCAAATCCTCACTCCCTGTTCTCAGGGCGGCACTATTCGTGTCTCTTTAAGATCACTCCGTCCTAAAAGTTTGTGTGTGGTTTTCTTTTTTTTTTTTTTTTTTTAATGTTTTTATTTATTTCAGAGAGAGGAAGGGAGAGGGAGAGAGAGAAACGTCAGTGATGAGACAGAATCATTGATCGGCTGCCTCCTGCATGCCCCCTACTAGGGATCGAGCCAGCAACCTAAGCATATGCCCCGACTGGGAATCGAACCGTAACTTCCTGGTTCATGGGTCGACACTCAGCCACTGAGGCACACTGGCCTGGCCTCAAAGTGTTTTTCAAGTTAAAGTCACCATGGAAAAGTACTCCCTCTCTTTTCTAGGGACATAGGTGATTTTTTTTTTTTTTTGAAGGTTTGGACAGGGAGACTTTCCAACTCTGAGCTGTTTCACTCGTGAATACCAAGCAACCTAGTACCTTTCTTAATAAGAGAGCATATTACTGAACCAGAGCAACATTTCTGGGATGTGGATCACAGTTCTTTCTTACATGCTGGCTGTGATTGTAAAATCGCACCAGAGTGAGCTACAACCCAGAACAAGCCATCGGCCTTTAAAAAGACGGCGAAATCATTACGGGTTTTTGAGACCCTCCTAAGCTCTCACACAACCATAAAAGCAATAGGAAGAACCACCTAATGTGGGTCCAGGTGTCATCATCCCCAAGACAGAAGTGGGGCAAGACAGGCTGTAAGAACTCCTGCATCATCTAAGATTCTAGTTGCTGAGGAGAGCCTGCCCATGAGAGTATCTCCTGAAAAATGGACTCCAGGAGAGATTTCTACCCTTCGTATTCAGGAGCAATAATAAAACATTCTGGCCACTGTTCCTTCCAGGGTTCCACAATGCCCTTAATACTCTTCTCACCTGTCTGTTAACACAGGGAGACCCTAGTTAGGCACTGGCAGGAGCAGATCAGGAACCCACCACAGGTTCAGACTGATAACTGCATTCTTAAAAATAATAATACATAACAAATGACCCATGAACCAGGAAGTGATCCTCAGAGGTCCAAACACCAGGTACGGATGGCCTCCGTGTCCACTTCCCAGATATCCGTCACAAGTGCTACTTGGCCATGGATCACGGCAGCTTTACGGCCATAGAGTCAACAGATGTAAAAAGTTTCATAGGAAATACACATCCAAGAAGCTCTGATGGTAAAATGGACAATTCCATCCAAAAAACAAACAAACAAACAACAAAAACTAGAGTAGCTGCCTTTTCATCTAAACGGCTTGCTCCTACTCTAACAAAATCCTGTTCTCCAATCGCACGCGTTTCCAATGAGTGAAGAGGGACTGACCGCCTTTCTTCTTGGGCAGTCAACTTCTGAAGGAGACCCACTCTGTTCTTTACTGTATATTCCTGGTGTGCTAACTGCATCCTCCAGGACAGGTTTAAATTAATGAAAACTCAGGTTAAAGAAGGCAAGAGGGCAAGCAGGTAACCAATATGTTTCTGGCTTTTCTGTTAGGCACAGAAACATTTTCTAACATCTCTTAATGCACTAACACGTGTGTGTACCTGAAACAAGTGTCAAGAAACGATATTTACCCTTACAAGGACAACGCACTCCGATATCTTCTATTTCTTTTTCTTTAATGATGGTTGTGATCCACTAAACTGATTTCCAACTCATCAGTGCGACTCTGACTGGGAGCTCAGTTTGAATTGCACTAGATCAAAACTGATCACCTCATTCCACAAGCTACTAACGAACGCTTCAAAAAGCCCCCAGAGACACACCCGGCAGGTGGGCAGTGCCCTTCCCAGGTCCGGCAGCCCAGGGTTAAGCATCTCCCAACCTCCCAGCTTTTCCCAATATCCCAGTAACCCCAAATGACTCTGCCATAGGCCCTTCTGTTAACCTCTTTATAAATGCAGCCCATTCCATCTCTTAGGCTGGCGAAGTTCATGTGCTGCCCTCTGTGAAAAGCAATGCTTGCCTTTCTGTCTCCACACCAAGCCCCTTCAAGACTGAAGGGAAGAAAACCTTCCAGGAAGGAACCCACAATTAAGTGAACCAGTTGGTGCTCTGTGCCTGTTTGTGTGGGTGACACGCTCCTGTGCCTGTGTCCGCACACCCGCGCGCGCGCACACACACATCTCTCGCTCAGCTCTCCATCCAGCCTTAATCCCTGGCAGACGCCGCCTCCGATGAAATGAGAAACCAGGGAACCCCCGGGAGCCGCGGAGGCACTCCTCGCATGACAGCGAAAGCAGTGGACTCACTCTCCACACCACAAAGCGCCTGACCGACAAGTCACCAAGTTATCTCCAGATCCAAGCTGGGAAGGGGAGCGGGGGCGAGAGAAGCAGACAGACTCGGAGGGACGCGCCGCGCCGGAGGGACCGGCCGAGGACATCTCGCCAAGGCCTGACCGCAGCCCGCCCCTGCCCGGGCCGCCGGCCCCAAACTCCTGGGAAGCAGGTGAGCGCCGCCCGTGCGCGGGGCGCGGGGCGCAGAAGCCACGGGAGCCCCGCGCCGCCCGTGGGGGTGGGAGGGAGGAGGGTCCGGGCCCGAGGCCTCCCCTCCCCTCCCACAGCCCCTGTGCCCCAATGCGCCTACCCTCAGCCCTCTCCGGCCTCCGCTCACCCACCCGGGAAGTGCGCCTCCCCCACTGCCGGCAGGGAAAGCGGAGGAAGTAAAGAGTTCGGAGCAGGACGCCCCCACCCCCGCCTCCCCTCCGTACCGCTCTCGCCGCCCCGGAATATCCCGCCGCGGGCCCCTCCGGCCAAGCGCCGCCTCCCCCCGCGCCCCACGCGGCCGCTCCCTGCGCCTGCGCCCGGCTCGGCTGGGCGGGCCCCGCTCCGAGTGCGCGCGCGCCCTGCGTGTGCTGGCGTGGGGGTGGGCCCTGCGTGGCCCCGCCCCGTCCCCCTCCTCCGCCCCCCTCCCGGGACACTGCCGCGGCCGCCGCAGGAGCCGGGAGCTCGAGCCGCCCAGCGACTCCCCCTCCCCCTCCCCCAGCCCCGCCCCGCCCCAACCAGGGGCTCCGAGCCGGAGCCGAGTCTGCGCCTGGGGGTGAGTACGCGACCCTTCCCCAGCCCCCCTCTCTCCTCTTTGACGATCCCGCCACCACCCAAGGAAAAACCCCAGACTCAGCTGCGCGTCCCCTCCCTTCCACCTCCGGCTGGACCCAGAGGTGCCCGGGCCCGCGGGACCTACTGGTGCCGCGCGCTGCCCCTAACCCCACACCATCTTGAGCCAGATGCGAGCCCTCCGACCCCTGCCGGGGCTCCAGATGTGCACCGCCTTCTGTCCCCACCCCTCCGGAGACCCGGAGGGGTGGGACCCCCACCACCCTAGAACCACTCTTCTCCCTGCTGCCCGGTCCAGGTGCGCCTCCCCTCAGCGGCCCTCCGGGGTTCCAGCTGCGCCCAGTCCACCCGCCGCCGCTGTGGGGAACCCGCCGCCCCCGCCCCCGAGTTTTGGATTCCAGGGTCTCCAAGTCCGACGGCCTCGGTTTCTTTTATATTTTCTCGTGCTCCCGGGTCCAAGTACCCCCGAGGCCGATCCCAGGGCAGGGGTTCCAGCTCGGGGAAGCGCAGGTTTCGCGGGTGCTGGCACGAGGCCGGCTGCTGCCCCCAGCCTGTCTGGGGACTGGTCGGCAGGCTGGGGAGGCGGCGAGCCCCGGGAGCGTGCGTCCTCTCCCTGCGCCCCACACAGTGCAGTTCATTCATGAGCCGCCCGGGCCTGCGGTGGAGAAAGGAGGCAGCGCGGAACCGGGAGTGGGGCAAAGGCCCAGCTGGGAGGAGGCGCGCTTTGTCCCTCCTGGCCTTCTTGACCACCGTGGGAGGACAGTCTCACAGCTTTGGCGCCTTGTGTCCCAGAAGAGTAGGACGCTTGGGAAGTGGAGAGGAGAGGTCAGAGGGGCCGACTGCCCTTGGTCCGACTGCTCTGTGCTGCCACCTGCCTGGGTCCCCTGGGCAGAGGTCTGGCCGCTGAGCACTACCTTCCCCAGGGGAGAAAGGAGGGGGCCTGGGGTTCTCGGCTCCATACCACTCTCCAGCCTCACTCTGGGTCTGCAACAGCCTAGGAAGATGAGTCTGAGCCTAACCTCTCCGAGGAGGGCCCCTGGCCCTGCCTCCCAGGCACTTGTGAGCAGGGGAGTGGGAGTGTCTGCCAGGCTTCCAGTGGGGGTGTGCTGGCAGCATGGCCGTCCTCCAGGGCACCAGAGGGTCCAAGCCCTGACATGCCCCAGGTGGCACATGCAGAGGCCTGCTGTTGGCTCATCCGACTCAGTCTCGGCCCATAGGTGGGTGGGTGGGGATGTTGCAAGGCACAAGGCAGGTGGAGGGTCGCTAAGAACCCCCTTTTAGACATCCCGCAAGTTCCCTCCGATTATAACAGTCTTGGAGACTTCAGTTCAAATTCCGGCTCTGCCACTCTTGAGCTGTGTGACCTTGACAAGTTACCTCACCTGTCTGAACTTCAGTTTCAGTTAAAAAGTGTGTTTGCTATCACTTCCTTTCAAGATTTATCATGGGGATCAAAGTAGATAACACAGGTAGAGTCTGGCACCCTGCCTGGTAGTTGATCAATAATGGGTTCTCTTCTCTGAACTTCTGACCCATTCTAGCATAGCATCACCCTCCTGTACTCCCACCTCCTGCTACCCAGGGAGTGGGTACGATTGAAGAGTTGGGGAACATTCCCTGCCTCTCAGTGGCAGAGTCCCGAATGTGGTATAAGCCCGAAGGTGGAAACAAGAAGCCCATCCTGACTGAGGGGCTCTATCATATTAAATTATATGTTTGTTTTTTTTATTTTGAACAGTTTTTTTCCCCACACTTTATTAATAATAGAAGGTAATTTTTTTAGAACCAATTATGTACCTTGACCTGTATTAAGAGCTTTACGTAAGTCATTTTGTTTAATCCTCAAAACAATCACACGACTGCATTATTGCCCCATTTTACGCATGAAGGAACTGAGGCCCAGGATGGTAATTTGCCCAGGTCAAGCCCGATCTGTCTCATCCTCGAGCCTGTGCTTTTACCCACCAGGCTTCCTACACCTGCCCCAGAACCTAAAATCACAAACCCAAGGCCTGAGTGTGTGTGTGGGGAACGGGGGGAGGGTAGCGGGGGGGGGGGGGGGTCAGGGGGGGGGCGCGTTGGGAGCTACAAGAAAGAGGGAAGGCAAACAGGTAGAAAATAGGGTGTGGCATTTTCCAGAGTGATAGCTGGCAGCCCCCAGCTCCCTGGTAGAAGTGGCTCCTCTGTTGGCCCAGGCAGCAAAGTGCAGTGGTTAAGAACATAGACTTCAGCTGGGTTGCCTCAGTCCATTTCGGGATCTGCCACAGACTGGCTGTGTGACATTGGGCAAGTTATGTACCCTCTCGGTACCTCACTGTCCTCCCAGAGTTGTGATGTGGAGTGAATGAGCTAATATTTGTAAAGTGCTTAGAACAGTGCCTGGCACAGAATAAGAGTTAAAGAAGTATTTGATAAATGCATTCTTTTCCTGCTCATTTGTGGATACATTTTTGCCTATCCCTCTGAAGTTGGTAGGAACAGAGAGAGGCTATCAATTCTGTTACAGATTAGAAGACTGAGGCCCAGGTCACATAGTAACAGAGTAGCCTTCGTCTTCATCTCCTCCCATTAGATCACACTATCTTCCTAGGATTTCAAGCCCTAAATTAAATCTTCCCAAGTAACTCTGTAAGAACAGACTTGTAACTTATAACTCACCCACCCCTGCCATGCACACTCTTCTTAATGGTAAAACAACAGCCTTCAGTTAGCCATAAATAAAATCTTCCATCACTCTCTACACACTTCCAGCTAAAAGCCTGCATCAGATGAGAGACATTCCGGGATACAGCTGGCTCTGGCAACCCCATGGAGTGGAGGAACTCTCCTACTCCCCTACTACCTACCCCCGCCCCCCCCCCAAAAAAAAATTCTGCCTCATTCTCTTCCCTCTCTGCTGCTCTCAGTGAGGAAACAGCTGCCCTGGGTGAAACAGCCCAGCAAACCCACCCCCACAATTAAGAGTGTGGAGTAACCCTGTCAGCAAACAGAGCCACCAGCCCTGGCTCCATCCTACCTGTCCTGTGACCTCCTTTGAGGGGCTTCTCCTCCCTGGGTCCCTGAAAATGGGGATAGTGCTCTGATCGTGCCTGCCCTGCTTTCCTCATGGATTGGTGGGAAGATCAGGCAATTGGCGGGGGGGTGGGGTGGGGGGGGGGGGCAGAGTGCTTTGTGACTGTAAAAAGGAAGTCCCGGGGGGGGGGGGGGGGCAGAGTGCTTTGTGACTGTAAAAAGGAAGTCCCCGGATGCACGTGGTGATTTCAGTTACTAAGCATCTACCTGGACCCTCCTCATGCACCCTACCTGGTTCCCTTAATATAGAAGCTCCCAGAATATTCCACATCTTTCAACTGGAGAAGATGCGTGTAGGGGGGTGCTCCAGGGTTTGTACCCATTACCTTCTGACCTGGTGGAGCCTTGGAGTTGAGGAGAGAAACAGACAAGGAGTGGGAATGGGCTACCTTAATTTCTGGAGTGCATTGGAGTTGGGGGTTCAGGGGGGACTAATGTACATGCCCCTCAACTGCCAGAGACCCAAGGGACCTATACCTACCTTTTACCTCCCCTGGTACCCCGGAGTTCTGGGCACCTCGTGTTTACACATCCAGGCTCCCAGACAACCCCACTTAGAGCCCAACACTCACTCCATCTCTGTGGGCTGCCATGCAGACACCTAGCTTCCCCACCCCCCCCCACCCCCCCCACACATAAATACATCAACATGCATTTACAAACCTAGGTGCACACCCATGGTGTTCCCGTGTTCTCTCGCCAGAGGACATTGAATGAGCATATACCGCGTTTCCGTGGTCTGCAGAGCCCTATGCTAGGCACACTGGAAGAGCGCCGTGGTGCCCTGAAGAGTGGTCTAGCTTTAGAAAGAAGTTGAACTAGGTTTGCATCCCAGGCCCATCGTTTTGTTAGTAGTGTGACTTCAGGAGTTTCTTAACCTTTTTGAGCCCTCATGTCTTCATCTTAAAATGCCAAAGTCATCTAATTCAGGATTGTCGAGGATTAAATGAAATCATATATGTATTCTTTTCTTTTTTTAAAATATATTTTATTGATTTTTCACAGGAAGGTAGAGGGATAGAGAGCCAGAAACATCAATGAGAGAGAAACATTGATCAGCTGCCTCCTGCACACCCCCCACTGGGGACGTGCCCGCAACCAAGGTACATGCCCTTGACCAGAATGGAACCCGGGACCCTTGAGTCTGCAGGCCGACGCTCTATCCACTGAGCCAAACCGGTTCTGGCCATATATGTATTCTTGAAACTGTGGGTACTCTTAAATGACACCTGCTACAATTACTAAATTAGTGAGGGGGAGGGACTGGGGGGGGGGGGGGTAAGGCAACTTAGGCTGGAAAGGAAGAGGAGGCGTATCACCCGGGGGCAGTTACTCCCTTAGCCTTCCTACCGGGCTTTCAGAGACTCCCGGGGACCAAGTGGAACACATAATTCTCCCTCCATCTAAGAGTTCGTGCCTCTTGCCCTGTGGTTTAAGTGTTGGGGGCGGGGGGGGGGGGGCGGGGGTTGTGTGCAGGAATTGGTGGGCAGGAAAAACTCTGAGTCACCCCATGGGGCTGTGGGGACACGACCCCGGCGTTGCAGTCACCAATTCTGGGTTTGTTGTTCTCTTTGTCTGCTTTCCTTTCTTCCCTGGAGACACCACCCCTCCCCACCCCCACAAAGCAGAGCGTCAGTGTTGTCAGCAGGAGGGGGCCCCAGGGGCCCTCCAGTGAAACGGGGTGGGGCAGTGATGCCACAGCCACACTTCTCCCTGGGCGCCTCCCCAGAGCCCTGCGTGGCCGTCCCCAGGCACTTCCAGAACCCAGGCATCTGGGCTGCCTGTCCCTTCTCTTCTCCCCACTCTCCCCCTGGACCGGCGGACCATCCAGGGCTGGGCAGCCCTGCAGTAGCAGGGAACCAGACTGGATGGCAGCACCCAGCAGCCAGGGCTTTGGGCAGGCTAAGAGGCCCCGCCCACTCGCCCTTCCTTGGCCAATGGAAAAGCTCGCTGGAGGCACGGCATTCCCAGCCTGCCCTGCTCCTGCCTCTGGAGCAGGGCACTCTGGAAGTTGTAGTCTCCACACCATTCAGGTGACTCCGGTGCAGAAATAATTGGAGGTGAGGCAGTCTAGTGGAGAAGGGTGTAGCAGCCGTGGGCAAACTACGGCCCGTTTGAAATGAATAAAACTAAAAAAAAAAAAAAAAAGACCGTACCCTTTTTTGTAATGATGTTTACTTTGAATTTATATTAGTTCACACAAACACTCCATCCATGCTTTTGTTCCGGCCCTCCGGTCCAGTTTAAGAACCCATTCGAGTCAAAAAGTTTGCCCACCCCTGGTAGCTGCTGCCTGGGCAGGGGAAAAGGAATGAGAGTAAGCGACAGTGACTGGGTTAGCAAGTAACACAGATCCAGAAGTCCTGCTTTTTAATCGACTTCCCACTCTGGCCCTACCCTCAGACCCCCTACTCTGGGGACAGAGGGGGCAGCTCTGAAGATGAATATCTTATTTTTGAAGTCAGTTCTATTGGGAAGGTGATTAACACTTGAAAATTCAAAGCAAATGAAAACGTGCCATTTTTCTAATAGGGGTAGAAAGAGAAGATCAAGGTGTGGTCGCTGGCTCCTGGCCCACCCTCCCTTGGCCTAGAGACCCCTCCTTTTAGCCTTGGATCCTCAGGCCTAGGACCTCTCCCCATCTTCTCTCAGGCTCAGCCGGGCCCCCTGCCTCACGCAGGGAAAGAAGGAGACAGAGGCACTGTGTTTGGAGAGTATTTGCAAGTGTGTGTGGAGGTGGTGGGTGGTAGGTATTAGAGGCCCGAAGACGACTTCTAGCTTAGAAAAACCAGTCTCCCCAGTCCAGATCTGGGCCAAGTTCCCCAGACCCGGGTGGCGTCACAGCCTGAGAGCCAGTGAAGGTAAACGTATGTGACTCAACCCTCCCCTTCCCAGGCCCTTATCTCTGGAGGCCAGAGCTTCCACCCACCCAGGGAGCCCAGTGGCCTGCCCTCGCTTCCCCCTCCCCTCACCCACCTTGCCAGAGCTCTGAGAGGGACCGGGGCCAATCCCCTGCTGACCACTCTGCCCTCTGCCCAGGAGGACCATGCGGCAGTAGCAGCCATGCTGCCCTTCCTGCTGGCCACACTGGGCAACACGGCCCTCAACAACAGCAACCCCAAGGACTACTGCTACAGCGCCCGCATCCGCAGCACCGTCCTGCAGGGCCTGCCCTTTGGGGGCGTCCCCACCGTGCTGGCTCTCGACTTCATGTGCTTCCTAGTGAGTGCTCGCATGCCACTCACACCCTTGGCACCCACACTCTGTACAGAGCTGGCTAATGCCTGAAGCTCTAACCACTCTCCCACCTGACCCTGACTCCCCAGGCTTAACTGCAGGAGGGATCCCCATCACACAGCCCAAGCCTAGCCTCTGACCATTCACCCAGGCCAGGGCCACCCCCTTCTAAGACAAGATGCTGGCCCCTCTGCCCCTGGTCTTCTGGCTAGTCCAGTGCATGAGTGGCCTCTCCACCTGCCAACCCCTCCTCTTCCCTCAGGCATTGCTGTTCTTGTTCTCCATCCTCCGGAAGGTAGCCTGGGACTATGGGCGGCTGGCCTTGGTGACAGATGCAGACAGGTAAAGCTTTGGGGCTCCTCCCCTCCCCCCCTACACATGCACACAGCTTGTCCCACACGCCTCTAGAAAAGGGCCAGCCCTCTGCCATCCTCCCTTGTTGGGGGGACAAAGAGGGGCCCGTCCCAGAGCAGGCAAGGGGGGCATGAGGGCCCCCAGTTGGGCCTTTGTCCCTTGCCATGTCCAGGGACCCTCCTCCCTCCCCCCGCCCCCCCTTAACTTTGTCTGTTCTCTGCCCCCAGGCTCCGGCAGCAGGAGAGGGACCGAGTGGAACAGGAATAGTATGTGGGGCACCAGCCCCCTCATCCACTAAACCAGCTTTCTCTTTCCTTCTCTCATGTTTCTCTCCTCTTCTGCCAAGTTGCTGGTTTCTCTTCGCAGTTGTCTCTTCTGCAGGCTCATTTTCGGATTAACGCAGGCGGTGTGCTTTGCAGAGCAGGGGGCTCCCCAACTTGTCGCTGCCTTACCCCCCATCTCTCCCCCTGGCTCTCTGCCTGGGAGAAGCCCTCCCGGTGCACCTAGCCTTCGTGGCCCTGGTTGGCTGGAGTGGAGGGGCCATCCTCCCCGAAATTCAAAGTACACTCACCCTGTGGGTGGCAGAGACAAGATTGGGTGTCACCTGTGGCTTCCCTAACAGCTGGTTCTTCATATTCCAGGGTTCTCTGTTCACTTCTGGAGGCCTGAGAGGGGAGCTGCCCAAGGAGCCCCCAGTCTGGCCCTTTGTGTCACGTCTCGGTCTCTTGTCTGTAGGACTGGTGTTGGAATTTCGGCAGCTGCTGGGGACAGGGAAGAGGGTGGATCAGGACCACCTGGGAGGCATCCCCCCCTCCCGCCCCCCTTATCCCCACCCTCTGGGGCTCTCCTACTCCATCCTTGCCTTCACCTCCCCATTGCCCTGTGCCCTGTCAGCTCCGGAACTGCAGGGCCGGTTCACACGCTCACTTCAACCTCCAGGGGGCGATAATGAAGACACCCTCCTCCCTTCCCCCTGCAGCCTGTGTCTGCTTCCCCAGACCCCACTGAAGGGAAGAGGTAGACTGACGGGAGGCAGGGAGAGGGTAGTCATTTCTTGCTGCTCAGCCACTGCGCTTTCTGTGCCTTGTCTAACGCCTGGAGCTCTGGAGGGGGAGCCCACCCGCTTCACCCCTGCTCGCCAGGTGCTCAGACTCACCAGGCTCTCTCATTTCTCGTCTCCTCACCCCAGTGTGGCCTCAGCTATGCACGGGGACAGTCATGACCGGTATGAGCGTCTCACGTCTGTCTCCAGCTCCGTCGACTTTGACCAAAGAGACAACGTGAGTGCCCTCCCCGGACTTCTTAGCCACCCCTGGTCCTCTGGGGCAGGGAAGCGCCGCAGCCTCTAGCTTCCAGTGACCAGTCAGACCTGTGGTGCTATGGGAGCCACAGGATAACCACCCAGACCAGAACTCCTGGCGCTGTCCTCCATGCCAGCCTCCACGCTGGCACCAGCCTAATTCGTGATTTCAGACTTGTTCCACTGTAGCGTTCAGTGCCTGCCTCTTGCTTAATCCTAAGGAACCCTTTTTCCTTAGACGTGGTCTTAGAAGCAATAATGAGCTTTCCATGCCTCTTACAAGACATACAGAACTCACTGTGCTGCTCAGAGGGGGCAGCAGGCAGGCAGCCCCTGACAGGCTGGGTGGGTGGGGCCAGTTGACGGGCTGGCGGATTGGAGCCGAGTGGCAGGGGCCCCTGAAGATACGGCTTGTCCTTGGGGATTCACAGCCGTCCCCAGACCCCCTTTCACATCAGACCCAACACCCTGGCGTTCCCTGCCTGGCCCTGGCGTTCTGCCAGGGTGAGGTCCTGGTCAGACCCTAATCTTCAGGCCCTAGGGTGGCCCTGGTCAGTCCCGCTTAGGCTGCGGCCCTTGGGCAGCAGCCGCTGAGATAGCTGTAGCAGAAGAAGCCTGTCCACTTCCTGAATTGGATGCCTGCTGGTAAGTGGCTAAGCGAAGGTGTCACCTGCCAGCCAGAGGCGCCCAGATGGTCCCCAGACTCGGTGACATTGGCAACAGGTAGCACAGTCCTGCATCTTGGCCAGAGGGTAGCTCTCTCCCCAGCCTGTGTGAAGCCTGGACCTTTCCCTGGCAGGAAGGTGGGGAAGGGTTCTCCCTGCCCAGCCCTCTCCCACATCCCCCCCGCTCTGAGTGTGGGCTCTGCCGGAAGGAGGGTCTGGGGACTTGTGGATGGGAGATGGGGCTCAGCGACCTCTGACGTGTGCCGGAAGACAAGTGACAGGATCCCAGGCAGTGTGGCCCAGCCCGCTGCTTGTGGCAGCCATGCTGCCAACTCTCCTTCTTAGCTACAGGTCTGGAGGTCCCTGCTGCTCTTCCTCGATCCCTGAATCCCACCCATCCCTACCCTGCTCCAGTCTGCCTCCCTGTGGGGTGTTTGCAGGGATCGTAGCTCTGGGCATGGTCCCTTTTGCCCTTGGTCCCATTCTTCCTTGAAGGCTGGCCCTTCCCTCTCTCCCTCCCTGGGGCGAGCCAGTTTCTTGGGGGTCGGGGGGAGGTTGTGGAAGCTGCGCCAGGGTGAGCGGGACTTGAGTGGGGGGGAGGTTTAGGGCGGTGGGGGCCGGGGCTGCCGCTGATGGCCCTCTGTCCCCCCAGGGTTTCTGTTCCTGGCTGACAGCCATCTTCAGGATAAAGTAAGTGAATGGTCTTCAGGCTGTAAAGAAAGAAACAGAAAAACTTCAGAACTTGTCATCTCCCCACAAAATCCAGAGGCCAGCAGCGTTGAGGGCCTTAGCGCTCCTAGCCAGCCCAGCACCCTCCTTCCTCCTCCAGGAGCCTGGCCCTGGGGCCCTGGCTTCCGCGGAGCCCTGAGCTAGCCTCACGACCACCCATGGTCTCCTGTGCCCCCTGCCTGGGAGGCCCACTCCGCCCACCGCTCTCCCTGCCCCTGTGGGTGGGAGCAGCAGGCAGGCTGGGAGCAGCCCGCCAGCAGCAGGCAGGAGCCAGTCTCCAGCAGAAGGCAGATCGCGAGTGCGGCAGGCAGGCAGTGAGCGCTGAGAGAGGCAGGAAGCCGCACAGGTCAGCACCGCCGCCACCCGCAGCCCCCAGGCCCTCCCCACGTGTGCCACGTACTGCGTGCACCAGCACCCATAAGGGGCCTGCTTCCCGAACCCCCATCCAGCCTCCGGCTGCTTCTTCCTGTCACCGGTTCTCCTTTTGCCTCAACCCCACTTTTCCCATCTTCCTCTGTTCCTTTCCCTTTCTCTCCATCCCGCATTTCTCTGTGCATTCTTTCTTCTTTTACTCCTCTCTCCTTCCCTCTTCCTTCCGAACTTCCTTCCTGTCCCCCAGTTATTCCTCACCTTCTCTCTGTTCTTCCTTTTCCTCCCCCCTCCCTTCATCCTTCTTTTCCCCTTTCCCTTCCCGCTCCTTCTCCCTCCCTTCCCAGCAAATAGGAGATTCAGACCCCATTTCAGCCCCACACTGCTGCCAGATTGGCAGGGGCTGGGGGTGGGGTGGGGTGGGGTGGGCAAGGGCAGGCAGGCCCCTCTCCCTCGTGGCCTGGTCCTCACCTGCCGCCTCTGTCCCCTGCACCTCAGGGATGATGAGATCCGGGACAAGTGCGGGGGCGACGCCGTGCACTACCTGTCCTTCCAGAGGCACATCATCGGGCTGCTGGTCGTCGTGGGCGTCCTCTCCGTGGGCATCGTGCTGCCTGTCAACTTCTCAGGGGACCTGCTGGGTCCGTGAGGGCCAGGATGGGTGGGGCGGAGAGGAGGGGCCAGAGGCCACAGGCCCTGACGCCCGCTGTCCTCTCCCTCTCCCCACCCCCCAGAGAACAATGCCTACAGCTTCGGGAGAACCACCATTGCTAACTTGAAATCAGGGTGAGTTTGAGAAGCAGGTCTGTGAGGCCAGGGTCCGGGTCAGAGCTGAGCCCTGACAAGGAGGGAAGGAGAGGGAGTGTCGGGGGACAGTGGCTGAGGCTGAGGCTGTGGGGCCCGGAGGCTGGGGTTGGAAGCAGAAGAGGTAGAACCGGCTGTGGGTGGCCAGGAAGGACCAGGTGCAGAGAGGAGGATGCAGCCTCAGGCCAGGCCGGCGAGGCCACCTGGGGGCAGGGGGAGGGCAGCGTAGCCAGGGGGGAGGGCACGAAGAGGTGACCTCTGGGACATTTCCGTTGGAATGGGATCGTCTCAGAGTCTAGAGGATGTGGGGTGTGGGCCCTCTCTGTGGGGTATCTGTTCCAGAAGACGTGGCCGTGGAGGGGCCCTGAACCGGGGTTTGATTACCACCGAGAAGTCAGGGCTGTCTGAGTGGGTTTCGAGCCCCTGTGGCTTCTGTGCCCTCTGCTCTGCCAGGAACCACCTGCTCTGGCTGCACACCTCCTTCGCCTTCCTGTACCTGCTGCTCACCGTCTACAGCATGCGCAGACACACGTCCAAGATGCGCTACAAGGAGGATGACCTGGTGAGTGGGGCAGCGCCGGGACCACCCGTGCCGCCTCTTCCCTCCCCTGCAGGCCTCTCTTGCCTCAGCTTGAGGGACATCAGCCCCAGAGTCAGGCCAGCTCGGTTGGACTCCTGGTTCAGCAGCTCAGGAGCCCCCACCCTGTAAGTTAGTTGTTACCTCCTTGGTTTCCTCTTCCGATGACTGAAGTAACAGCGGTGCCTGTCCTGAGGGTGGTGGGAAGGTGAGGCGATGCATGGACAGCACCCGTGCTGTGCCTGGCGCTCAGGAAACACCACGATTGTGAAATCCCCTCCCCTTCACCACTGATTCCCTAAACTAGTAGCAAACGCCCACACTCCATGCCAGCCATTGCTCTGGGTCTTCACGGCCTGAGGATCGGAGACTGGCACCCCATCTTCTCACTCGCAAGCCCGCACTTGCAGGGGCCAGATGGCTCTTTCATTAGGCTCACTGCCTGATTTCTACTAGAAATTCACCAAGGCCTGTCCACCTCTGTCTGCTCCTCTCTGCTCTCCACTTCCCCACCCCTCCCTGCATCTTCCGTCCCTCTCACCTGCCTCTCACGCCAGGTGAAGCGGACTCTCTTCATCAATGGAATCTCCAAATATGCAGAGTCAGAAAAGATCAAGAAGCATTTTGAGTGAGTAGCCACGCTCCTACCCCAGCCCTACTTTGCCTTTCAACTCCCAAGACCCTCCTCACACGCCTCCCACTCTCCCTCCAAGGCCTGGGCCGCATGAGGGTGGAGGTTGGACTGAAGAATTCTCTGGCTCTAGGAAGGCCTAACACTTGGGCTGGGTGATCGGCACCTCTAGGAACACAAGAGAAATACTTGAAATACTTGAGAGTGAGTCCAGTCTGTGCCACACAACCACCCCCGACCCCTCCATCCCCCGCCGTTTTCCGACATGAGCTGGATCGTGGGTTGTTGCCCGAGGGTCCATGATGGGTAGCTTTTTCATAGAGTCTGGAGTTTGTGTGTAGCCTGGCGGGGAGAAGCTTCATCGTGGAGCCCAGGAGCGCCTGGCCGTGTGCTCTCTGAGGCTCTTCCCAGCTCTGGAAGGCTGTCTCAGCCGGGAGGGGCATGTACACCTCCAGGAGCCCCAGGTGCCAGGCGGTCTGTGTGCAGGATCAGGGATCCTAGCATCATTCATCTGGCCACTCAGCAGACTTCCTCAGGTGCTCAGGCACGAGTCAGTGTGGTGGGCCTCGGGACTATACGTGTGAATAAAGGATCGTCGCGCTCTCGGGGGTTCGCCGTATGGAGGTCAGCTTTAAGAGCCAGTCCAGGACCTGATGAAAGGGTGGCCTGGGGTCAGTCTGTGGTCAGAATTAGGAGTTGATAAGGGGCATTGATGGTCTGAATCAGGGCTATCTGTGTCAGAATCGGGATTTGGTGAGGTCTGGACTCACTGTCAGTTGGCCGGGATCAGAGGGCAGGCGCTGTTCCGGCTCAGGACAGTGTTGAGAGTGAGTCTGGTCAGGGTCAGGTTCCTCCCTCTGTGTTATGGGAAAATGGCTGCATTGTGATCAGCATGGGCAGATAAACACTCATTCACTCAATAGGCATCTATTAGTCACCTCCTATACCCCAGGCATAAGTAAATGAGAAACAGGCCCGCCCTCACAGCAGTCAGCATTAAATCAGACTTGGTCAGTATGAGAGAACAATTTGGGGTCCTATCTGGCGTTCAAGCCGTAATCAGCACGGCTGGGTCAGGGGGCAGTCTGGGTCAGGATTAAGGACAGCGTATGCTCCAAATTAGGTGACATCTTAATATTACCGTCCAATTGGCGTCAGCTGTCGGCTTGTACTGATGAGTCCTTTAATAACAAGTATCTCTTGAGCTGCCCTGTGGCTTTGCTGAAGTAGGAACTGGAGAAATAACAATAAACAGAAAAGAAAAGGTCCCCACCTTCACCTGCTTACATTCTAGAGGGCTGAGGAGGACAGTAAGCAAATGAACTGGTAATAGACACTGTGTCAAGTAGGGGTAGGTGCTAAGAAGGAAACAGCCTGGCTGGTGTGGCTCAGTGGTTGAGCGTCAACCTATGAATCAGGAGGTCACGGTTCATTTCCCAGTCAGGGCACATGCCCGGGTTGTGGGCTCCATGCCCAGGGTGGAAGGCAGCGCATTGATGATTCCCTCTCATCATTGATGTCTCTCTCTCTCTCTCTCTCTCTCTCTCGCCCTCTCCCTTCCTTTCTGAAATCAAGAAAAATATATTTAAAAAAGAAGAAGAAAACCAAAGCTGGAAGAGGGGCGGAGTGAAGGAGTCAGGAAGGGTGTTCGGATGGGATGGGGGGGGGGGGGGCGGCGGACTCTGACAGGGGAACCTTTGAGCAGAGACCTGCATGCAGTGAGGGAGTGAACCCCACAGCCAAGCATCCATTCATTCCACACACATTTGTTGTGCACCTACTGTGTGCATCATACCAGGAAGACAAAGATCCAGACATGGTGGCTGTCTGTGGGGAGCTCGTGATCCAAGTCCTCTGTGTTACGGGTCAGGCTGTGGTTCTGTTTAGGAAATAGCCTTTGATTAAAACGGGTGGTTAGCCTATAAGCAGGGGTGGTTCTAATTGGAGTTTGGGGGATACATGGGTGAATATTATGGCGTAGCCATTTCATTGATCCAGGCTTCAGCACATGTTCATCGGGCACCTACTGTGTTCGAGCTGTTAGCTCAGGCATGGGTATGTGGTGATACCCAGGCTGCCTGTCCTCGTGGAGCCCCTGGGCCAGTGGACAGTATTAGGCAGGGCTTGTCCAGGCCTGGGGTCTGTCTGGATTGGAGGACTAGCCCAGCAGAGTTAGGGAATATCCTGTGTGCAAAGTCAGGGAGCCTGTGCGGTGGGGATTAAGGGATTAGAGATTAGTCTGGTGAGAACGAGGGCTTGCCCTGCCACAGGGGCGAGGCCCTTCCGAAGAGGACCCCTAAAAGGGTTTGAAAACAACATTGTCAGGGGGAAGGTCCGGGAAGTGCTTTTCAAGATCCCCATCCCAGATTTCAGTTTCCAGACTCTCGTGTGTTTGTGTGATCCATCTTGTTGCTTCAGAACCGTGTCTCATGCATCTGTAACACTTACTGGTCCTTCATAACAATGTTTAATGGGGCTCAGTCCAGATTAGGGATCAAGACCAGTCAGCAGGTACCCCGTGAGCCCTGCCAGGTACCAGGTACTGAGAGCCAAGAACAGTCTGTGGTCAGTCTCAAGTCATGGTTGGGGTCCATCTAGGGTCAGGGTTAGAGGGTCATTCTTGGGTCTAGGTTACCGATCAGTTTGGGTCAGAGCAAAGGATCCGTCTCTGTCCAGGGTTAGAGGTCAGTCTTAGGTCGGGGTTCAGGATCGACCTCTGGTTGGGCTTGGGGCAGAGATCACTCTGTCTCCTGGGCTGGGGGTTGGTTGGGGTCAGTCCATGGTCAAGGCTAACTGTTGAACTGGACCCAGACGTTCTGGGGACAGGGTAAAGGGAGCCACCCACGAGGAGAAACAGTCTCTCGACGTAGAGTTCACAGCCTTGGACAAGAATCAGACCCCAGTCGTGGCGGCTCACACTCGCTCACACAGTCCCCACACGTCTGTGCACACTCCCCCGACTCAGGTCCGCATGAGGAGGAATTTCAAAGTTGTATTCTCAGAGAACTCCCATTTGTGTAGACTAGGAAAGAGCTTGCTTGAATTGGGGATGTGTGTCTTGACGGTGATGGGGTCATGCATGCAAGTTGGGGGCGTGTGGGCAGGGTCCCCGCTAAAGATGATGGTGGACTCTCTTTCAGGGAGGCCTACCCCAACTGCACGGTCCTGGAAGCCCGCCCATGTTACAACGTGGCTCGCCTCATGTTCCTCGACGCAGAGAGGTAATGGGCCAGGGACTGGAGGTGGGGAGGGACACCCGCGGGCCTGCTGCCCATGGAGGAGGGTGTCTTGGATCCACAGAGGAGCCTGGCTCCCCTGCCAGGTGTTTCCCGGGGCATTTGATGTTAATTCAGCCCCTGGAGTGCTCATCAGGTCAGCTCTGGAGACAGCCAGGCCTAGAGGTCAGAGTTGGCTGCAAAGGGAAGGGGGCTCCTCGTCCCCACCCCCTCTGAGGACAGACCCTTCTTTAACTACAGTGTCAGGAATGGAGGCCAGACTATAGGGAGAATTTCTGGCCTTCAACGGATGGGTAGGCAGACCCTGGGATGGGGACATGTTTAAACCATGCATGCTAAACAAACCCAAGAACAAGATAGCCCCGTCCTTGGGGAGTGGACTAGATGATCCCTGAGCTGGGCCCCCTACCCATCCTCCCAGCCCCAGCCCTGCCCCAGCCCTATTCCCCTCCCCCCCACCCCAGCCCCCGCCCCATCCCCTGCCCCAGGCCCCAGCCCTACCCCAGCCAGGCAGGCTGTGACTGGGCACCTGGGTTCCACAGGAAGAAGGCTGAGCGGGGAAAGCTGTACTTCACAAACCTCCAGAGCAAAGATAACGTCCCCACCATGATCAACCCCAAGCCCTGCGGCCACCTCTGCTGCTGTGTGGTGCGAGGCTGTGAGCAGGTATGAGGTGGGCTGGCCCAGGGGCGTGCCTGGCCTGGGCTCACACCGGGGCCCCAAAGCTGCAGGTGGCATGGGGAAGAGTCGGAAGGTCCTGGGGGGACAGGTCACAGCAGAAATGGATGCTCCCTGCGATGCATGTCCCACAACGCTGGGAGCACACAGATCAGCAGGCCCTGCACATAACGCCCAAAGGTAAACAAACTCCCAGAGGAGGCCAGGCCGGTCTGGAGCCAGGCCAGGGCAGGGCGCAGCACCTCTCTCAGCGGCCCCCCGCCTGTTCCTCCAGTCCTTGCAGCCCCATCCCCATGGTTGGGTTGTCCCCTGTCCCTACAGTGACCAAATTTTCAAGCCCTGAATCAGAAGAGGTGAGCTGAGAGGATAGTGTTGTGCTGTATTTACTGGCTCACTGGCTTTTAGGCAGGTTTCTTAACTGCTCTGTGCCTCAGTTTCCTCATCTGTAGATGGGGCTAAGTGTCCCTACCTCATAGGATTGTGAGAGAGATGGACAGCTCAAAGCAGTGCCTGGCCTGTAGGAAGCTGTAGGTCAGTGCCAGCTGGTGCTGTGGGCTCTCTGCCCAGATCTGCGTTACCCTCCCTGGCAGGTGGAGGCCATTGAGTACTACACGAAGCTGGAGCAGAAGCTGAAGGAGGACTACCAGCGGGAGAGGGAGAAGGTGAACGAGAAGCCTCTTGGCATGGCCTTCGTCACCTTCCACAATGAGACCATCACCGCCATGTGAGCCTCCTCCCAGCCTGCCCTCCCCCAGCCCGAGGCCCCCAGTGATCAGCAGGGACTCCCAGGTCCCTGGGCTCATCAGCTGTCGGCAGTGGGGTCCCCACCGGCTGGTGCCCCGGTAACTGGTGTCCATCCCCACAGTATCCTGAAGGATTTCAACGTGTGTAAATGCCAGGGCTGCACCTGCCGCGGGGAGCCACGCTCCTCGTCCTGCAGCGAGTCCTTGCACATCTCCAACTGGACCGTGACCTACGCCCCTGACCCCCAGAACATCTATTGGTGAGCAGAGGGGAGGCTTCATGGGACCTGGGTGGGCTCCAGTGGGCAGAGGGGAGGGGAGGGAGAGCTAGGTGTCCCTGGGGACCAACCAGGCATCTGGTCCCAGGAGTGACTGCCTCCCCTTCCTTCCCAGGGAGCACCTCTCCATCCGTGGCTTCATCTGGTGGCTGCGCTGCCTGGTCATCAATGTCATCCTCTTCATCCTCCTCTTCTTCCTCACCACCCCGGCCATCATCATCACCACCATGGACAAGTTCAACGTCACCAAGCCCGTGGAGTACCTCAATGTGAGGCCACGTACCCCACCCCTCCACTGTGTGTCTCAAGACACAGAAATCGGGCTCTGAATCCCTCCAGGGAAGGGGCGGGAACCAGAATGCCTCCTGCCCAGCCCCCCCCCCCCCCCAAGAAGTTCCCCCGTGACCGTGGGCTGCAAATCCCACTGTGTGCTTCCCTTGGGTTCCTCGCCACCTTCCCCCAGGGGAGCCCACCTTCCATGTGCACACACAGAGAGACACCCGGGGAAGAAAGGGAGCCCAGGCCCATCCTAACTGACCATGTGACCTTGGATAAGTCCTACCCCTCATCCCTCGTTCTCCCCAACAGTAGAATAGAAGGTTCAGACTAGGTCGTTGGCTTCCCGACTTGGAGCTTTTATCAGAAGGAATCTTACATGAAACCCAATGTGGAAAATCAAGGCTCCTCAGATGACAATAGAGTGGGGGACACTCCACCTGGTCTCCCCTCCCCCCTCCTGCCACATCATTCAAAGGAGGATAGTTTGGAAATCTCTGAGCGATAAGAGCACAGTAGATAAGGCCCAGGCTACCTGGGTTCAAATCCCCACCCCACTGCTTACGAGCTGGATTAGCTATTGAATCGTGTGGGGGTTTTGCCTCAATTTGCTCATCTGTAAAACGGAGTAATAGTGTTACGAGGAATACATGTAAAGTACATGATCAGTGCTTGGCACGTAGTACGGACTCAGCAAATACTAATATATTTCACGCTGGGACTGTGCATATGGCCCTGGCCCCAGCCCTCAACCCTTGGCCTCCAGGTGTTCTGGACTCCTGATGTGGGGCCCAGGGCTCAGTGGGGGAGGGGGCAGGTAAGCAAAGCAAGCGGACCCACTAGACTTCCCTCACCGACTCCCCCCCCCCCATGTACCACTGCAGAACCCCATCATCACCCAGTTCTTCCCCACCCTGCTGCTGTGGTGCTTCTCCGCCCTGCTCCCCACCATCGTCTACTACTCTGCCTTCTTCGAAGCCCACTGGACACGGTGAGACCCCTCCATATCCTGACCCCTAGGGGCACCCCCGTGCCACTGGACAGCCCTTTGCCATTTAGGCTCCCTGCCCCCAGGGTCCCAGAGCTGGCAGGGAAGGGATGGTGCCAGCATCCTCACCGTGGGAAGCCCCCTCTTCCCAGGGGCCCCTCCTGGGACACTGTGTTGGCTGGGGGAGCAGCATGGGGACTGGCCCGCCTGACCTCAGCCCCTCTGCCCCTGGCCTCAGCTCCGGGGAGAACAGGACCACCATGCACAAGTGCTACACCTTCCTCATCTTCATGGTGCTGCTCCTGCCCTCGCTGGGACTGAGCAGGTGGGTCCGCAGGAAGGGACGGGAGCTGCCGGGGGAGCGGGGAAGTCGCAGGATGGGGAGAGGGAGCAGTTCAGGCTCCCACCTCCCCTCCCAAGCGAGGGACCCCGTGTCTAGGGGCATCCTCAGAGGCTCCTGGCTGGGACTCCCCATCCCTACTCCAGCCCCCACCACACCTCTCCTCCTCTCCAGCCTGGACCTCTTCTTCCGCTGGCTCTTTGACAAGAAATTCTTGGCTGAGGCAGCTATTCGGTTTGAGTGAGTGACCGGGGGGCCCCCAGGGAAGAAGACTGGAAGGAGGATGGGAATGCCTGGGAGACCCCTCCTGCCCCTGGGAGGGTACAGGAACGCTCCCTACCCCTGCGGCCGGGAGGAAGAGGGGCTCACATCACAGGCTGCCAGGATCATCCCAGAGGACCCTCACGTGTCTCAGGCGTGTGCCTGGGAGTTGTCCCTGGAGTTGTGTTGGGGCTCACTCCAAGGTCACCCTCAAGGTGTATTTAAGGCCACACGGAGGGGGGCGGGCGGGCGCTTGAGGGCTCTGGGTTTGTATTCTGGGGTGGACTCTGGGAGTCTAGAGTGTCCCTTGGGAGGTTTGGAGAGGTATGCGTGGTGGGATCTTGGGGGTCCCTAGAGGTCTCCTTGAGGGTCTCTGGAGCCCACACTTTTGAGTATCTGTGGGAGACTCGGGCTCACACTTTGAGGTACTTATGGGGCACAAGTTCTGGGAACACCTCTCTCGCTTCAGGCTCCTGTCCAGAGGTGTGACTGTGGCGTTCTTTCTGGGCACCTGCTTGGGGAGTCCCTGGGAGGGTGTCTTAGGGGTGTGTGCCATGGCTGTACTGTTGGTGCAGCTCTCGGGGTCTTGCTCTGGGCCACCTGTGGGAATCTTGGGCTCACACTTGGGGTGTCATGAGTGTCCTGGGCTCTGCCCTCTGAACATCTCTAGGGGAGGATTTCTGAGCTTGTGTTCTAGGGGTGACTGAGGCTCATCCTCGGGGGTAACTTTGGGTTCAGTTAAGGCCTACAGAGGGGAGCCTTCTGGGTGTTCCGAGGCACGGTCTCAGGGATCTTTGGTGGGGGGGTGTCTCAGGGGTTATCTCTGGAGATCTCGGGAGTCATACCCTGAATACTGGTGGCCTTAGGGGTCTCAAGCACTCTCTCCATGGGGCTTTATGGGGCACAGGTTCTCAGGGCGCCTCTGGGTGTCCACACACATGGAGGGTGTCCGAGGTGTCACTGACACCCTGCCGTCTGCCTATGGGGCTCACACTCTGGGGGGACTGGGCCACCCAGGCGCTTGAGGGCTTAGCTGGGACACCTGGTGCCCACAAGGCAGCTGGGGGGAGGGGGGTATGGTGCTGGTGCAGTGGGCAGGAGACCCCCAGGCCCCCCAGGGTACAGTGCTGGAGCACCCGGTGCCCGTAGGTGCGTGTTCCTGCCCGACAACGGCGCTTTCTTCGTGAACTACGTCATTGCCTCCGCCTTTATCGGCAACGCCATGGACCTGCTGCGCATCCCAGGCCTGCTCATGTACATGATCCGGCTCTGCCTGGCGCGCTCGGCCGCCGAGAGGCGCAACGTGAAGCGGGTACGGCCGCCCGGCGCAGCGGCCTGCACAGCGCCCCCTGGTGGGCCCGACCAGAAACAGCGGCAGTGCTAGGGTGTGGGGCTTCTGGGTGCTGGGGCAGCCCCATTCCCGGCCCTGGGCTGTCCCCCTCCCTGCTGGGCCTCAGTTTTCCCGTAGGTACAGTGATGAGTCGACACAGATAACCCTGAAGGCCCTGGCCAGTTCTGAGGGTCTAGTGCTCTGTGGTGGGAGCTGGGGGAGATCCAGGTCCCTACCCCTAGGGCCCCTGGTCCTAACCCCACAGGACTCTGAGCATCCATTCCCAAGTGCACCCCCTGCCAGTCCCTGCTCCCTTGAAGGCCCCTGCCCACGTCCTGCCCTGTCGCTCTCCACCCTGACCTCCTTCTCGGCCACAGCTCCTCTCTTCATCTGCTTTGCCCTGCCCTGCCCTGCCCTGCCCTGGAAATGGGTTCCTTTTCCCCACTGCCTTTCCTGGCCCCCTCCCCTCCCACCTGCCCTGTGCCCCTCCAGGCTCTCCCTCCCCGCCCTGAGCCACCTCCTGCCCATCTCCCCCCCAGCATCAGGCCTACGAGTTCCAGTTTGGCGCAGCCTACGCCTGGATGATGTGCGTCTTCACGGTGGTCATGACCTACAGTATCACCTGCCCCATCATCGTGCCCTTCGGTAGGCACCGCCGCGCCGGGACCTGGGCCCTGCTCGGGGGGACCCAGGACCTCACGCTCTCCACTCTAGTGAGGCAGGCCGCCCCGAGTGGACAGGGCCCTGGCTGGGAGACCGGCCCCTCCGGCCTCCCACCCGGTTCCTGGCTCAGTCTGGGACCCGGCCTGGGGGGAGGAGGGGAAAAGCCATCTCAGCTCAGGCTGGACCCCCGGGCACAGTCACCCCAACATGACCATCCTCGCCCACACCAAGGCTTCCACCCAACGGGATCTACTGGGACACACGTCACATGCCCACTGAGGCGTCGCACACGGCCACACAGGAGCCGTGGGCACTCTTGTACACAGCCCTGTAGACTCAGGAAAGGCCTGCGTCCAGGGTGGGGCTGGATCCCTCCCGCGCCTGGCTGAGCTGTGTGACTTAGGCCAGTCCCTCTTCTTTCTTATAAGTACCGCGCGCTAACCGATTGCGCCACTGGAGCTCCCGTCCCTCTTCTTTCTGAAATTTAGCAAAGTTTCTCTTCAACTGTTGCCCTCACGAGTGGCCTCTAATTTCCCCTGAAAACATCCTAACCCATTAACCACCCTCCCTGGTTATTGAAGGCTCCAAACTCCCAAACTAACCTCCTTGTCCTCATCCCAAAGCGCCCATCCCCTCAGCCTCCAGGAAGATAGAAGGTGCCTCCTAATGTATACTCGTCTGTTTAGGAACAGGAGCAGGAAAAAACAGTGTGGATTTTAACAGGATGCTTGTTGACCCAAACAAACGGGTTTCTCATAGTAGAGTGGCCAGTGAGGGGCCGCAGAACGAGGGGTGGCAGCAGAGGAAGCTGAGCCTGGGCCTGTGTGGGGCCGAGGCAGGAGAAGGGAGGCTGGCCCTTCAGGGGCCGCGGAAGGACCGGGACAACCTGTGCCGGACACACAGAGGTCTGGCAGCGCTGGTTCGAGGTCAGGGCCCGTGTGGCTTCCCCCAGGGCTCATGTACATGCTGCTGAAGCACCTGGTAGACAGGTACAACCTCTACTACGCCTACCTGCCGGCCAAGCTGGACAAGAAGATCCACTCGGGGGCTGTGAACCAGGTGGTGGCTGCGCCCATCCTCTGCCTCTTCTGGCTGCTCTTCTTCTCCACCATGCGCACGGGTGAGGGCCCTCCCCCGGGGCTGGGGTGGGGCCGCGGGGCTCCCTCCGGAGTCCAGGCAGAGCAGGCCCCAGGAAGGTCCGTGGTGGGGGAGGGGGCACAGACAGGCCAGGGAGAGGCGGCAGCACATGGGAGTGTGGGGCTGCATTCAGAAGGTAGCAAAACGGAGTGGGAGCCCCTGGGAGGGGCCCAGAGGAGAGGTAGCAGCCCGTTCTTTGCCCCCCGCTTCCCCCATAACAGGGTTCCTAGCCCCCACGTCCATGTTCACATTCGTGGTCCTGGTCATCACCATTGTCATCTGTCTCTGCCACGTCTGCTTCGGACACTTCAAATACCTCAGTGCCCACAACTACAAGGTGTGGGGCGAGGGGGTCCGGGGGCGGCCCAGGGCAGGAGCTCCAGGACGTGCAGGGGGGTGGCTGGGAGCTGAGGGCAGGGGCAGCGGGTGCCGAAAGGGTGTGGGGTCGTGATGGTGGCTGAGGGGAAGGACACCCCCCCAATCCCTGACTCATCCCGGGCCCTCAAGATTGAGCACACAGAGACAGATACCGCGGACTCCAGAAGCAATGGACGTCCCCCCACTGTTGCCGCTGTCCCCAAATCTGCGGTAAGTGCTCCACTCCATGGCCAGGGTGGGGAAGGGCCTCGGAGACAGCCCAGCGCAGGCCAACCCATTGTTCTGCAGTAAGGGGATCGGGGCAGGAGAGACCTGCTTCGCTGGGGTCTGCCCACCTCCCCTGGGCGCAGGGTCCTGCCCCTTCCCCTGCGGGCCCCGCGACTCCCCGTCTGTCCATCACCCCTCCCCACAAGGGGCCGCTGTCCACCCTCACACCTCACTCCTTTTCCCCTTCAGAAATACATCGCTCAGGTGCTGCAGGACTCAGAGGCGGACGGGGATGGGGATGGGGGTCCCGGAAGCTCGGGGGACGAGCCCCCGTCCACCTCGTCCCAGGATGAGGAGCTGCTGATGCCACCCGATGGCCTCACGGACACAGACTTCCAGTCTTGCGAGGACAGCCTCATAGAGAATGAGATTCACCAGTAAGGGGAGGGAGGGCCCTGGAGGCCACGCCCTGCCCCACCCACCCACCCCTTCATGGACACTAAAAAAACGCTAATAATTTATTAGATCTGAAGCCCCTTCCTCCCCCATCCCTGCTTTCATTAAGGTATTTAAACCTGGGGGTTTGCTGCTCTCCCCCACCACAGAGGGGAGAGAGAGCCCCAACCTCAGTGAGGAGAGCCCCGAGCCGGCCCCGGGGCAGAGGGGTGTGGACACAGTTCCCCCAGATCAGTGCCCCCGCCCCAGGCTAGTTGTGTGGTCAGAAAAGGGTTAATGAGAGCCAAGGTGGGTACCTGGTGCCGTGGCTGGAGACGAGGAGTGGGGGGGCGTGCAGGCAGATCGGGGCAGCCCCAGTTCTGTCCTCCCCGCCACGGCCCCCTGGGATCTGGCACTCCAGGAAGGTGGAGCCTCAGCCCTGAGGGTTGCATGAGAGGGGAGGGGGTGCCGAGTGGGAGGAAGAGTCAGGCCTGAACCAGGGGGTGACCTGGGGTGGGGGATGGGCATGGCTGACACTGGAAAATGGGTTTTTGCACTGGTTTTTTTTTTTTTTTTTTCCTTTAAAATAAAAATGGAAAGAAAAGCTCCGAGACAGGTGTCCTATTTGTGCTGCTGTCCTGGACACGTGGCTGGGGGCCAGCCACCCTTCTGTGAGTCTGGAGGATCTGTTTGGAGTCCCCACATGACCCTGGGTAGACTTCCTGTGCAGAGACTTCTGGAGGTCTCAGGGGAGGGGCCTGCTGTGCTCACATTGCCACCCCCCTCCCCTTGCATCTGCCCACTCTGCCTCCATCCCTTGCCCTGAGGAACTTGTGGGACCACTCAGACTGAGGGACAGGGACACAGGCCAACATTCTGAATCCCCGAGAACCATACAAATAGAATAGAGATGCAGGGTAGAAAGGCCGTGAAAGGCCGCAAGTGCCATGCTGGTCTAGGAAGGCTTCCTGGAGGAGGAAGTTCCCAAGAAAGTTGCTTCCAGGAAGGGGCTCAGCAGACCGCGCTGAAAGGGAAGAGGCAAGAAAACAGCGCCGCAGTCGTCAACCAAATTCTGTCGTCATGATTTGTTGTCATTGTTACACAACTTACTGAGGGGTTAGTATGTGCCTGGGATTGTGCTGTATGGCCATGACGTGCTGTAAAGCATTTACTCAGAGACCTTGCTCGAGTCGGGCGTGGGTTTGCTGCAAGGATTACATAATATGTGTCAAGGGTTCACTTGGCCCAGCACCTGGCACTTACTTATAAGCACCCAATAAACATCAATTATAGTTAATACTATGATCGTGAATAGCACCTACAGAGTCGTGTGGATGAAGACACAGGCCCAGGGAGGGTTTGGGGTTGGCCAAGGTTAAGCCGGCCTGGGAGGGACTTTGAAAGGTCCTGCTGACTCTCGGGGAACTGACCCCAGCCCATCTGTTCCTTAACCCTCATGAGTGATCAAGGCCCTCCCCAAAAGCCCCTTCCCATCCTCCATCAACTCTTATTCATCCTCTAAGACCCAGCTCAAATGCACCTTCTCTAAGAAATTTCCTATGGCCCTACACGGTTTGGCTCAGTGGATAGAGCGTCGGCCTGTGAACTCAAGGGCCCTGGGTTCAATTTCAGGCAAGAGCATATGCCCAGGTTGCAGGCTCCATCCCTAGTAGGGAGCGTGCAGGAGGCAGCCAGTCAATGATTCTCTCTCTTCATTGATGTTTCTTTTTTAAAAAATATATTTTTATTTATTTCAGAGAGGAAGGGAGAGGGAGAGAGAAATAGAAACATCAATGATGAGAGAGGATCATTGATTGGCTGCCTCCTGCATGCCCCCTACTGGGGATGGAGCCTGTATCCGCAACCCAGGCATATGCCCTTGACCAGAATCGAACCTGGGACCCTTCCGTCTGCAGGCCGACGCTCTATCCACTGCTGGCTAGGGCTCTTCATTGATGTTTCTGTCTCTCCCTTCCCCTCTAAAATCAATAAAGATATTAAAAAAAAAACAAAAACAGAAATTTCCTGTGACTGCTGGAGCCCATCCTCCAGAGGCCCACAGAGCCACGTGGTCACCCCCTTCCCCGACCACACGCACAAGAGTGTACACTGTGTGCTGCAGGAGCCAGGAGACGTGGACCCCAGCTCTGGTTCTGTCACTGACGCTGTGCAAGCCCAGGAAAGCCACCTCTCCTCCAAAATCAGGGCATGTGACCAGGTGACCCCTAAGGCCCTGGCATCCTCTTACCCTCCCCCCACCTACCAGCAGGACCCACACAAGGAGAAAGTGAGTCCAGGAACTCCCAGGGGAGAAGAGAGCTCAGAGGAGGAGGAGGAACAGGTCTGCCAAGGCCTGCGGACTGTCTACGAGAGACCGCAAGCAGTGGGAGCAGCAGACAGTAGACAGTAGGCAGTAACAATCGCCCAGGAGCCGGCAAGGGGCAGAAGCAAACTGCCTGGGGTGAGAGAAGCCACCCGCACAAGGAACTGCTTGGAGGGCCAGTATTTCCTGCTGGCTGGCCGTGGGCAAACGTGGGCCAAGCACAGTGGAGATGAAGGCTGGGCCTGGCCTTCTGGCGTAGGTCAGATCTGCAGATCTGGGAAATGAGTCCCAAAGTCCTGGGGCTGCAGGAGCTGCCAGGCCAGGGGCGGGAGCACAGTGCCAGCCGGAGTGCTTGTGAACCGAGCATATTGGCTCGTGAAGACCCCTCGGGGCTCGTGAAGGTCCCTCGGGGCTCCCGAAGGCTGTGCCCATACAGGGGGCAGGCACATCATCGTCACCCGCCTGCCAAGCCCTATTGTCTATCTGCAAGCCTGGCCCGGACAGACCTCAGCCTGGGCTCTAGACCGTCAGCCTAGACCCCTTGGTTCCTCACTGCTCAGCATGCCTTCCCTTCTCGGGGGAGGGTCTCCCCTAACCCCGCCTTAAAGGGTCTTCTGGAAGCACCTGAGCTGAAGGCCAAGTTCAAGTGTTTCCGATGTGAAACTCCAGGTAAGGCCCCAACAGCAGACAGAATAAAGGTCCCGGGAGAGCCCTGCCCCAGGTGGGAGGCTGTCATAGAGGAGAACGCCTGCTCTCACCCACACCCTGCCCCTGGCACCTCCTCATGGGCAGAACCCGGGTCACGAGGAGGGATTACCACACTGTCATTTGACAAATATTTCCTGAGCAGGGATTGAGTGCCAGCCTAATGCTAGGTGCTGCAAAGGAGCCAAGAGGCGAATGGTGGAATCCCTGAAGGAGGACGGAGACCACAGGGGGCCCAAAGCCCACCTCACTTCCTCTCTAAGTGGGGCCAGCAGAAGATAATGGTTCAAATCCCGGCTCGGCCACTTACCAGCTGTGTGACCTTGGGCAAGGTGTTTCAAAGAGGAGAACTCGTGTCCTTTACACACAAAGTACTGCTGATGCCAAATGTGTGAGGGGGGGTGAGGGGAGGTGGGGGCTTTTCCCACACCAACCAATCCTCCAGCTCTGCAGGCACCAGCTGGGAGTCCTGCAATCCAGTTCAGCTCTGGACTGTCTTCCTTGAAGATAGCATTGTTACAGAAGACCAGAGAAAAACCAAGCAACGCTAGAAAGGGGAGTTACATGTTATTATAATTATGCACGGGCCCAGAGAAAAATGTGTCTTTCCAATTCTGAGCCCCCAACATGGAGGAAACCTTCCCTATTTATACTTTTTCTAGTTCTTTGTCTCCCAAATTTGGGATGAGACTTCCGGACCTCCTGAGAAAGAAGGCTTATGTGCTGGGAAGGGGCCATGAGACCATATCCCAAGGCCTGGCCTGGTACCAGCACTGACAACTCTGTCTGGGGCAGAGTTGATGGCCTCTCTGGAATGGGAGTAGGCTTATTGTCCTTATTATTCAAGCCAGCAAGCGTTTACAGAAGCCAACATAGCAGGGTTAAACTTTCAAACAGCAGTTTTTCTATAAGATGGAGGCTTCAGCCTCAGATCCCGTGGGGTCAGGGCTCCATCCCACAAGACTGCCCCCACATCAGACGCCAGTCCCAAGTCCTGGGGTGTCACCTGTACTTCTGACTGACCAGCTCTAAGCAGGGGTTCCCACAACCCCCTTCTCAGATTCCATAATTCGCTATGACGGCTCACAGAACTCAGGGACACCTTCCTTACATGTAGCAGTGTGTTATATAAGGGCATGATGAAGGGTACAAGGGGAGGGCCCCATGAGGAAGTACAGGGACCCCAGAAGAGACCCCGGAGCTTCTGTCCCTGTGGGGTTGGGAGGTGCCACCCTCCAGCAGGTGGATACGTCCCCCACCCAGACGCTCTCCAAACCCAGTACTTCCGGAAGTTTTATGGAGGTTTCATCACAGAGGCAAGGTAGATTTTTTTTTCTTTGATTTTTTTGTGTCTTTGTCTCTTACAATGAAAGTATTGGTTCCTGGTGACAACAGCATTATAACGTGTGCACTGTATTCTACTACCGTCGTCCCCTTATCCATGGAACATGGTCCGAGGCCCCAGTGGGTGCCTGGAACAGCAGATTGTACTGAGCCCTATAGAGTCTGTGTTTTCCGATACATAACAAAGTTTAATGTATGGATTAGGCCCAGGAAGAGATGAACAACCATAACTGAAGGTAAAATAGGACAATTATAACTTATGTAAATGTGGTCTCTCTCTCTCCGATAACCACGACGGCTACTACGCGACTAACAGGCAGGTGGTGTCTACATCGGTGTTTTCAACCTTTTTCATCGCGTGGCACATAAACTACTAAAATTCTGCGGCACACAAAAAAATACATTAAATTTTTTGCCAACCTGACAAAAAAAATAGGTGTAATTTTTATTCATTCACATAGGATGGCTATGGTTGTGCTGGCTGTTGCCATATTGTTTACAATCTAAGGGAAAAGAGGCCAGTGCCCTGACTAAATAGTCAGGTATTGCATGTTTTAAAATGCTTGTGGCACAGCAGTTGACAATCCCTGGTCTGCATCACAGACAAAGGGAGGAATCAGGTGCTGGGTTTAGCTCCCTTCTCTGTTGCCTCCACTTCTTCTTCTTCCTGTATGTTCCTGCTTTTCATTGGCTGCTTCGTCTTCCTTCCGTCTTGTGTCTAGGCATGATGGCTTATTAACTCAGTCCCCAGACCCCGGCCCTCCCTGGAGGAGGAGGTTCGGGCTGAAAGTTCATGGCTTACACATTCTAGTGACAGCCCCCATCCTGAGGCCATCAAGAAGGCTCCAAGAGCCACCTCATTAAACAAAAGGTGCTCCTATCCCTCAGGAAACTCTTAGGGATTTCAGAGCTCTATGTCAGGAACCAGGGCAGAGACCAAATACATATTTTTTACTGTGTCACCTCTGGACCTCACTTTCTTCATCAATAAAATGGGAATAATGATACCATGGCCTTGAGCTGTTTTAAGGATTCAAGAAGTGAAGAGTTCTTAGTCCAGTGTTTGCCACACAAAGAATTTAGTAAACTATAATTTATATAATAAAGAGCTAATATGCAAATGGTCATCACGCCCTCACACCATAACAGCTCAGACACTCAACACTGGGGAGAGAGGAATGGGGATGAGCCACGCACAAATGAGCTCGTGAGAGAGGAATGGGGACCAGCCAGGCTGCAGTCGGGGATAGGGACAAGTGGCCCGCCCCACGGTCCCCTGCGGCTGCAGCCAGCCCAGGTGAAGCCGGCTAGGGTCCTGGGTGCCTGCAGCCGGCCAGCGGGAGGGAATCCTGGGTCCTAGGTGCAGGGCAAGGCAGAGGTGGTTAGGGACAATCAGGCCAGCAGGGGAGCAGTTAGGGGCAATCACACAGGCAGGCAGGCGGGCAAGCGGTTAGGAACCAGTGGTTCCGGATTGCGAGAGGCAGTCAGACATCCCCCGAGGGGACCCGGATTGGAGAAGGTGCAGGCTGGGCTGAAGGACACACACCCCCCCCTGCCGTGCACGAATTTCATGCACCGGGCCTCTAGTCATTTATATTCTTATAGATGAGGAAACTGAGACCTAAAAGGGAGGCAGAGAGCACTTGCCTGCCGTCCACTTGGAACAAGGCTCTGGGATTCCATTCAGTTGCCCGAGCATTCGCCCTGTGCCTGATGCACCGCCTGGCAGGGCCGAGGAGCACCGGGCAACCTCAACAGTCCCCGTCCTCAATGGCCCTACATTCTGTGCTAGGAAACTGTGCCACAGGCAGCACTGCCTGCCAGAGTCCCTCTTCCCCAGGGAGAGGCCTGACAGCCAGGCCAGCAGGCTAACCATGACCTGGAGAGGTCAAGGGTGGAGTTGTGTCCCCCGAAAAAAGATACGT